AAGTAATTAAGATTGATTGGTTCTTATATATGAGGGTGGCTTTGTGGAGAATTAGTGAAGGCCTAAAGGGTGCTTTGGACCCCTTTTTTTGTTAAGGGGGATTTTCATATCTTTGAATATATAAGATCACTTTTAGTTGAATTTGTTAAGTACAACACAGTTTCCTTATCGCCGATAACTTCGTTAATTTGATCATTATCAGAAATAGTGTGGCTTTCGTTTTTAAAATTTTAATCTAATTTTTATTGGTATAGACCATTAGACTGATTAAATAGAGCTGATAGATTAAAAATAAAAACTAGATAAATAGCCGCAAGTTTACCCATAGTTTGCTTTTGTCGAAGGAAAACAAAAGTTTACCCATTAATGACTATGAGAAACCCAGCAGAGAAATGAAATTATTCATGGTAATTTATATCGTTTATAATGCGCACTAAAAGAGCGAAAAGATGAAATGTTTGATCGTCACTATTAAAGATAGAAGGTATAGGTTCCACCTTTTTCAATGAGTACTTGAGGGAATCTAATCACACTACTGCTAGTCTACTAGAGACATGCCTTATGCGAGAGTCTTGATCCTCAACGATTGGACCCATCTACAAACTATTAGGTTTTATGCTACATTCCTTAGCCATTTCTATGACATAAACCATTCGTCGATATATTATTCGTATTCTCTTGCTCAACATATCTATACACTATACTGTTATATTTATTAGGTGTCAAATGTCAATTAGAATCGAGTGCTAGAAAAATATTTAGTGGCAAGACTGACTTTTTGGGTACAAAAAATAGTTCAATTTTTGTTTAGGATCATAACGATTTTTTCCACCAGTTTTTGTTTTGTTCACTCATGTATATTTTGAATTTTTCATGATTTAGAGCTATACTAGTTTGAACGTGGAAAGTATGACATTACGGAAGTGTTTACGATTATTGAACTATTAGGTTTGTAAACAAGTGCATGGAGCCATGGACTCGACTCCAAATGACACAGTTGTCCATATATATCCAAAGGCAACGAAGGCAGGTCCGACGTCGTGGAAGCCATGCGCAAAAGTAGAAAAGAGTACTCTTTCGTTAAAACTTCACCATCTAGAGAGACTAAAATTTTGAAAACTTGAGGTCCTAGTTGATGACGTCATTTGCTTGAAGCAAACTTGTGAAGTAAATTTTTGTTTTTGTTACTTTCAGAAAAAGGTTTTAAAAACTTTAATCTGTGAGTCTCCATGCAGACAAAAAGAGATATTCACATCATAATACTAACAAGTACTGAGAGATAACCTTGCACGATAATAAGATGAGTTGTCATGTAATAACACCAATGGATGGGACATGGTGATTAGTTGAATTCCAACTTCGTTAGAACGGTCAAAGTATTGCTAAAAATCTCACTTTTTACCAGTGATTCTTATCCATCCAAAGATTGAAAGTGCGCATAACTTAAGTTCATTTGAAGGCTTTTTGACTATATCCACTCTTCCACAAACAAACAAGCGATTTTATAGGTTATGGAATCTTTCACTAATCACTTTTTCATTTGAAATAAAAACATTTGCGCATATAGTTAACACGAAAATATCTCTAAATGAAATTTAAAAATACATTTTTCAGAAAAGGGATAGATAAGTCTACTTTAGTATGCAGTGTGCGTTTTGTCCCCAAAAAAAAGTGTGCATTGTGCTTAATCCGATTTCTAGTTTGATATTTTATGGATTTAAGTTTTTTAATTATCTATGAATCATAAGTAAATCTTGTTCGGTTTGACTAATATGGAATTGGTTTTTGGTACACGTTTGGTTTTCCGCAGCAAACGTCAAAAATATATTTCGTAAATTCCATTAAAACAAGTCTTTTTTTTTTTTCCTATCGGTCAGTTTGGTTTCCAGTTTCCACTAGATTTATCTCGACACAAAATAATATTATTCGTATCTAGATTAATTTTGGTACGATCATCTGGTCCGGTTAGATAGAATAACACACAGTAAGTGAAATGCTGACTACGGACGAAGAGACAAATCCTTCTCTGAGAGATTCAAGATTCAAATCATTCCATTGATTAAAACTAATCATTATCAATCGTCTCTTCTATAAAATGTATATCTGAAGCCTCCTGTAGTCCCGTGAATTGAATCTTGAAAGAACTTTCACGTGGCAAAACACATTCGGATTCTGCAATCGACAATATGAAAAGCAAAAAAAAATAGTTTTGCTAAATTTTTTCATTTTGAAATGTGAGTTATCACAAAATTCTTACGTTCGGTTTGATCCAATCCGAAATAAAACAAATCAATCAGGATCTTTACTTGGGCCTCACTTGGTCCACCCCAATTTTCGCAGCCCAAAACTCAATCAGTCCCGCTCTGCTCAAAAGTCAAAACTTTGACTTTTCTCCCAAAACGCTAACGCCAAAAAAACGTTTTTTGCTCACAACCACTCATCAGAGAAACCACAAGAGACAAAGTCACAAACTTTCAACTCTCAAAGGAAAAACCAAATCTCTCTCTCGCTGCAAGCAATGTCTGATCACCAGCTTGCAAAAGAGATCAACTTCTGGGGAGAGACTTCAGAAGAAGACTACTTCAATCTCAAAGGCATCATTGGCTCCAAATCATTCTTCACTTCCCCTCGAGGACTCAACCTCTTCACTCGTTCATGGCTTCCTTCTTCTTCCTCTCCTCCACGTGGCCTCATCTTCATGGTCCATGGTTACGGCAATGACGTCAGCTGGACCTTCCAGTCCACTCCCATCTTCCTCGCTCAGATGGGTTTCGCTTGCTTCGCTCTCGACATCGAAGGCCATGGCCGATCCGACGGCGTCCGCGCCTACGTCCCCTCCGTAGATCTCGTCGTCGATGACATCATCTCTTTCTTCGATTCGATCAAGAAAAACCCTAAATTTCATGGCTTGCCTCGGTTTCTCTTCGGGGAATCAATGGGCGGCGCGATCTGTCTCCTGACCCATTTCGCAGATCCGTCGGGTTTCGATGGAGCGGTTCTTGTCGCGCCAATGTGTAAAATCTCCGACAAGGTGAGACCTAAATGGCCGATTGATCAGTTTCTGATTATGATCTCAAGATTCTTACCGACTTGGGCGATTGTCCCTACGGAAGATCTGTTGGAGAAATCGATCAAAGTTGAAGAGAAGAAACCGATCGCGAAGAGGAATCCGATGAGGTATGGTGAGAAACCGAGGCTTGGTACAGTGATGGAGCTGCTTAGGGTTACGGATTACTTAGGGAAGAAGCTAAAAGACGTGAGCATTCCCTTCATTGTGTTACATGGAAGTGCAGATGTTGTCACTGATCCTGAGGTGAGCAGAGAGTTGTACCAAGATGCCAAGAGCAAAGACAAGACATTGAAGATCTACCAAGGGATGATGCATTCAATGTTGTTCGGTGAACCTGACGACAACATCGAGATTGTTCGTAAGGATATTGTTAGTTGGTTGAATGATAGATGCGGTGGAGACAAAACCCAGCTTTGAATTCATTTGTGTTGTTGGTTTGATTCTCTCTGTTTATTTATTGATGTAATGTTTGTGTATAGTCATATTTTTATCATGGAATAATATTTGGGTTTAGTGACTAGAAATTGATATACACTACAGGTTAATCACATTGCTCTTGCAGATTGTTCTTGATAATGCTCAGTTTTTTTCTATAAGCAAAACTAACATTTTTCTAGTTCCTTCTTTACACGAACCTATATAGTTAGTTCAATGGTTTTCATCTGCTAAAAAATCTGCACAAACTCTCTGTATCCGCCATGAACAGATCGTTTTAGATGAAGCACAGAGAGCATTATGATTTATGAATCATAGAACCCAAGCTGCAAGAGCATGTTGGTGCCTTCACAATTTACACGATCTCTCTTCTCTGTGCCCTTCTTTTGAGAATTTGGCGGTATCTTTTTTTTTTCTTTGTGCCAAAACCAGCTGATCCATCTCCATTCTTCTCCTTTTGTGACATCCATGCCAATGCAATCCGATTTCCATGTCTAATGATGTATTAAATTTGGAAAGCCTTATCAAATTTAATATGGTCAATTTCGATTAGCAGTAAATAAACAAACCAAAAAACCACCATCATCAATTTGGAAAGCCTTATCAATTATTGATTAAAGTTCCACAATTCAAGCCAATGTTGGTTACTGGTTTGGCTTTTATTCTCCAACATGGTTACTATGCCAAGAAAACTACAGTACTTGTCAAGAGGCTATTGAATTGATTTTGAAGTTTGTTGGGTGTTTGACCAACAAAGCAAAAAAAGTTGCTTCTTTGTCCACTTATCTCACTGTTTTTAATGTACTTCCTAAGCTCTGTCTCTCACCTAAAAAGGTAGCTGCGAAATTCTTTTGTCCCAAATAATTTGGCATTTTTTTAGGAAACTGTTAAGTATTTGATTTATGGATTCGAATGAAATACATTAAGATAAATTCAAATATGAGGATGAGGTGATTCAGCTACGAATCTTAACTAATTCTAGTGTAGTATCATTTTTTCCATCATTATTAGATTTACAATTAGTCATAGTTGTTTGTCAACAATTCAATTAGGTACGATCTTTGCAACGTATGTGCTGAACATTGGAACTTGCACAAAGATTAGTACCCCGAAACGTGGTCATGAATAATAACAATATTTCGTTGTTTTTCAAAGTGTTCAACAAGTAATTACGGTTTTACATTGGAATTTGCACAAGGATTAGTAACCAAAAGTGTGTTCACGATATCAAATGTTGCCAAAATAAACCGATTTTCAGAAGCTAAATTCGACTGTAGAAGAACCAACGCTTTCGATCTTTTGCAGTACATGGAAACAAAAGATTCAAGTTTCGAGGTCAAAATGTTTCACTGACGAAAACCATAAAAAAGGAAAGAAATAACAAGCTTGATGGACTATGCCACAAAGAAGAGAGAGAGGGGGGGGAAGAAATTGAAACAAATGTGAAGTGCTTCAAAAAACTGTAAAAGAATGAGATAGAGAGAAAGAGAAATGGTCAAAATTTGACAGAAACAACATAAATCAAAGTTATTTTGCAGGGTTTACAGTAGCCGCAGAATCTCTGAGGATTCTCTCCTCCGTCGTCGAAGTTCAAGGCGTAACTCCATGGATCATACTGAAACATAGTCTGCTTCCTCTTCTTCGTCTTCTTCTTCACCGCCGCCTTCACCCTCCGGAACATCTTTTTCCAGTACTGATTCACCGCCTCCAGTCTATCCTCTAATCTCATTTTACGCAGAAAAACTCTTTCTGGCTTTTAAGCTTTAACGGGTCTTTCGGAAATGGATGAAAGTTTCGATCTTTTGGGAGAGTTGAAGCAGAAACAGAAGAGAGGATTGAAGAAAAAGTGAGCAGCTTTTGTTTTTGGTAGTTGAATACGTGTGAGGAATTTACATTGGGGGTCACGAGAAAGAGATATAACAGAGGAAGAGGAAGAAGAAGAAACCTTGGGCAGAGTGCCTAAAACATCATGTTCGGATACTCTGTTTTTTTTATTGAACTCCTTGGTCTTTGTCTCCTTCTATCTCAACGAATCAATATTCCTTTTTCCCTTTTCTTAACATTCTTTTTTTTATGTTAAAATAACCCCAGTTTTTTAAAAAATTTAGTCATTGAAAATTTGAATTGAATGTATCTAACAATATCAATATTCTGACAAATAAAATCACATATAGCGAGATTTTATTTGTTGTTGAGATTTTAGATTTTAGATTTTAGATTTTAGATTTTAGATTTTAGATTTTAGATTTTAGATTTTAGATTTTAGATTTTAGATTTTAGATTTTAGATTTTAGATTTTAGATTTTAGATTTTAGATTTTAGATTTTAGATTTTAGATTTTAGATTTTAGATTTTAGATTTTAGATTTTAGATTTTAGATTTTAGATTTTAGATTTTAGATTTTAGATTTTAGATTTTAGATTTTAGATTTTAGATTTTAGATTTTAGATTTTAGATTTTAGATTTTAGATTTTAGATTTTAGATTTTAGATTTTAGATTTTACTGTATCTAAAAATATCAATATTTTAAAAAAAAATTGTTTATTTTAGATTGTAACTATATTTTATTGGTGATTGATAATGTTGTAGATTTCGGTTTACATGGTTTGTTTTTTTGACCAAGTACATTGTTTGTTCACAAAAAAGAAGTAGTTGTACATTGTAGAAATTAGATTTGAGATTGTAACGAATATAAGGTCTTAGTTTTAAATCACATCTAAGAATATCAATACTTTAAAAAAATGTTTATTTTAGATTGTAACTGTATTTTATTGGTGATTGGTAATGTTGTAGATTTCGGTTTACATGGTTTGTTTTTTTTTTTGACCAAGTACATTGTTTGTTCACAAAAAAGAAATAATTGTACGTTGTAGAAATTAGATTTTAGATTGTAACGAGTATAAGGTTTTAGTTTTAAATCACATATAGCGAGATTTTATTTGTTATTGAAATTTTAGATTTTACTGTATCTAAGAATATCAATACTTTCAAACAAATTTGTTTATTATAGATTGTAACTATATTTTATTGGTGATTGGTAATGTTGTAGATTTCTATTTACATGGTTTGTTTTCTTTTTGACCAAGTACATTGTTTGTTCACAAAAAAAAAAAGTAATTGTACATTGTAGAAATTAGATTTGAGATTGTAACGAGTATAAGGTCTTAGTTTTAAAATGGTGATCACTGTGCCATTGTACTCTAGCTTATTTTAAAGTAATTGTAGATGATTTGTTCCAAAAAAAAAGTAATTTTACATTGTGAAAATTAGATTTAAGATTATAATGAGTTTAGTTCTTGATTCTAAAATGATGAATCGATGATCATTGTGCCACCTTACAACAGTTTATTTCATACTTTTGTGAAATGAATCCCTAAAGATTTTTTCTGTTTGTGTTTAACAATTTGTAAGAATATAAGTATTTCCAAAATTAATTTTAAAATTCTCTTTTAAAATCAAGGTTATCATCTAAAAGTCTACACATACTCGAGTCTTGAGATAATGTGATGTCTAAATGGAGTATAAGATAACTGTTATTATTTGCAAGTTAACATATTTGTTTTACTAGTTAAGCAACATTTAAGCCATACGTCTTTAATTTCTTAAAACAACTATCCTATCCAGAAAAATTTCCATAGAGATGATGTAACAAGAAAAAAGGTACACAACAACAAGAAGTGAACAAACACAATATTACGGCTTAAAGAAGACGGATTTTTTTTATGTAGTTACCAGAGAGCAGCAGAGATAATTTTAACGACTTCGTTCTCCATTCTCGAACTCCATGCATGATATCGATGGATCACTTTTACTGGATTTTCAAGGCTCTGAGCATTTGCTTTGAATCATGGCCTCAATTTTGACTTGTACTCCTTTGCTCAAGTTTCATGGAAATAAAGTTTGTCTTCCTTGTCGTGATGCATTTTACTCTGTTTCTCTAATCTGGTTCCAGCCTTGTTTTTCCTTATCTGCCTCAGTGAACTTTGATTAAGAGAAATAATTGCCTGCAAAATACTTTCTTGCCTTTTTTTGGTTTATCGGATTTGTTTTGTAGACCAAACTTTGAGTTAACAAAAATATATAGAAAATCAAAACAGCGATTAATCGGATTAAACTATGTTCATTCTAGGTTTTGGTTTAGATATGTAACTTCTCTGGACTCGATCACTCGAACCATAGCAAAAGTGTTCTTTTATTTGTTACTAGTATACTATTTTCGACAAATGTGTTATTCGATGTAAATTAGAATAAACAAGTATTGACTTTAATATACTGTTTTATTTGTAGTTAATACTTTAGGATTAACCAATTATGTTTACTAGATATATATAATCATCCAGTCACGCGTGTCCTTAATGGTAACAAAGTATGTTCGTCACTACTTTAGTTCAAAGATTCTGCATATATTTATGCTTTTTCTATAATCTTTTAGTAAACAAAAATTACTATTCTCTTTGTAAGTTCTCAAGAAAAGCTGTGCAATAAAGGACAACATGTGTGTCCCCGAAAAGTTACGACTTTTTTTTTTTTTAATTTCTCTTAGAATCCCAAAACTTTTACATTCTTACATATTAACCCCACTTGCTCCCTCTCTTCTCCTTCTTCATCTGACTCCTCTTCTCTCTCCCTCTCTCTCTCTCTGTTTCACCTTAATGAACTCCCAGAAAGCGAACAACACTACACTAAATCGAAACTAACCTTTCTTCGGTTTTAATACAGAAATGAGAGAGCTTGAGCGCTTGAAGACGAGCATGAACCATCCATGGCCGCCGATTGGAGCTCCGATGAATCTCCGGCGAGAAGAGCCGTGGAAATCTCGATTTGACGACTCAGTTAACGCCGTCTCCTTTGGGTTCGTCGCTACTGCGATACTCATTTCAATGTTCCTCGTCATGGCCATCTTCGAGAGACTGATTCGAACCACCACCACAACTACTAACCCAGATTCCTCTTCGGGTATGGACTCTCGGGTCGGGTTCAATGGCCCTGCGACTAAGCTCGGTTATCAATCTCCCAAGGCAAGTTTTTTTACTTTTTCCCTTCAAAAACAATTCGGAGAATAAAGCCGATAGAAAAAAAAATTCCTTAATTTTCGCATTATTGTCTACTTAGTACTCTTAAATGTTGACACATTTTGACCAATTTAGAAAATTTTCTACTTTATTTTCCTGCCAAATCTGATTTTGACACTTGAGATGAACAATGGGTAAAACAGGAACTAAAGAAAAGCTTCAGTTTTGTGATTCTTTCTTAACTTAAATCTTCGGATTTTGGGTTTAATGATGCAAATTTGGTGTAGAGAAAAAAGGTTAAGTCTTTTTTGGGTAATTATTCCAGGTAAAAAAAGTTTGTATTTCTAATCTTGGGCGGTTATTTTCATTTGATGTAAACACTTTCATCGCAAAAGAAGAAGGAGAAAACATCATAAGGTTTTGATTCTGTGTACTATTTGAGTATTGAAAGAGACCCAACATTGCACATGCTTTTACATCATCAACATTAAAGATGTCTCATAAGCTTCCTCACTCACACATGCATACACTGTTGAGTATATATATCGATGTATATATGGTGATTGCATTCATTGATTTCTTTCGTCATTCAGAATCTCCTTTTTTTTTTCTCTCTTGCTTTCTCTTCCTCATAATGACGAAGGAGACAGGAAAGACGTGTAATAAAGTTTTGTTTGTTGAAGATTGATTCGTTTGTAAGTATTATTGACGCGTATGATACGAATTATGCGTGTTGTAGATGGAAAAATGAGGTCTAACGTCTAAGTCTAAACCATGTGTGACTGACATTTCCTAGGAACACAAATGGCCCCACTAGCTTTCTTGAAACCTAACATTGCTCCAATGCTAGAGTTTAGTCATGTTCTTGGGGGTTAAATAGTTTCATGTAGATTGCATAGTTCTCTTGACTATCATCTCATGTAAAGAATAAAGGAGTAAAGAGATTAATGATATCTCAAAACATATGTGAACTTGAATGGAATTAGAGAAATGGGTAACTTTGAATATTGAAAATGGGTTTTAAACTTGGATTAGTTCCTCTTCATCCCTAATGATCGGTGGTCCTCTTATTATACCTTGTTTTCTTGTTTGAGATAGTCATTTTGAATAAGACTGATTGGGATATATAGATTGATTTTACATGGTCATGGAACAAACCATGTGATCAAAGACTAGATAAAACCATTCGAAAACATGGGAGGACCCATAAATGTAAGCTTAAGACAAGTGTGTTTGCCCTTTTCTTCCTATGAACCTGAGTTGCTGTTGGGGAACAATGACACATGTTTAGATCTGTCATTGTCTTCTCCCACTCAAATTCTTATTTGCTTATGTTTTGTTGGCTCATGAAATAAATTTCTTTAATGAGAATCTCTGCTTCTTCTATCTGTTGGATATTTTTTCTGGTTTGTTTTTCTTGAGTTAATGAATGACTGATTTTCTGATGTATCGATATGCAGATGACTGTTTACGCAAACGGAGTATCGGTATTAATGCCAGGAGATGATATTCCCACTTTCATAGCTCATCCAGCCCCTGTGCCTTGTCCTCCTCAACACATTTCACAGTCTCAGCATCAACATAGCTCATCAAGAGATTCCTCCAACTCAAACTCCATTCAAGAATGTTGAAGACTGTTTATTTATCTCGTACCACCATTGGCTGATTAAACATTCGAGCGACCAACCACATTGAGTAGAGTTGAGTATGGCATCGGATGTTTTTGTTTTCTCATTTTGTTTTTTTTTTGTTTCTCCCGGTGAGTTCGCTACATTGATTGGGTTCGGGGAAATTATCTATCCGTATTTGTGTACATAGCTTTAGGATCAGAAACCGGTTTATGCCCTTAGCATAATTAAGCATATATTCAAGATTTGACTAGGGTTTTTATAGCTTCTCTGTCATTTGCTTGTTACGTGAATCACTTACAGAGAAGAGAAGAGTGTGTAGTCTCTCTTTTCTTTCTCTAAGATTTGGAACTTTGCACCTTCATCCCTAAAAACCCCAATTCTCATTGGAGAATTAATCTTTTTGTGGAGAAATACTAATCAGTGACCCCTATTAATAAGTATAAACTGATATCAAAAATCAACATTTAAACTGCATGTTATAGAAAATCGGCTTTGAACTTGGGCATAATAAGGATACAATAAGGAAGACTGAAAACGTGAGTAATTGGGGTTTTAGCAGATTGAAGTACACATTCAGCACTGAAAACTAATGAAAAGTGAGTACTTGGGCTTTGAGATTATACTGCAATTTTGAGTGTTCGAACATGTGGATGGTAGAGTAGAATGGAAGTCATGTGAGCTTTACTAGTATCTGTACAAAGGGACTTGGATATAAATTCTAGCATGGAAATTTTTTAACTAATCGTAAATAGGTGTTGAAGAATTTTGTATTTTAAGAGTTAGTTTTTTTTTTAAAGAGTTGCTATTTTTAAAGTTCCAGTGGTAGTTTTGGATCGACATACGATTTCGGATTTGGTTGTTGTTACTTTTGTGTAAACTAGAAATCTTTATGTTAGTGAGTGAAGAATCTGAAATATGATAGATTTTAGAATGCAGACATAAGTCTTTTGTTGTGTAGTCAATGTGGATTCGGCTGTTGTGTAAATGGTACACCAATTTTTCTTTTTTTCTTCTCTCTCGTCTGGTCATTGTAAATGGTACTTGTGTCATATGTAATATGTGTTGTACAATTATTTCTCGGAAAAGTTGACTTATACAAGTCTTTGGCAGTGAACTTTAGAATGCACGTAAATTTGCTTCAAAATTAAGTTGTTTCTAAATATCAATGTATTAAAACTTGCGTCTTTTATTTAGCTCGTGACTTAGACGGATTGGATTAGAGTCGAGATTTCTCAGTAGCCCCATGAATTCACGTTTTGGATTGACCGAGTCCGTTACAAGACGGGCAAAATAAGGCGTACGAGTTCACAATCACATTCATAGTCATTCATTCACTATTGAAACTGTACTTTTGTCTAGTGTCATATTATACCACTATGTGAAAATAGATTGCATTATTCATTACTTGTACTATTTTACTCAGTCAAAATATGAAAGCGGAGGGAGCAAATTTTTTTTTGCATGGCAATTTTACTAGTCATTTTCTTAATTCGGTTCAATTAGCTGTGTACATATATAGTCTGACTCTTGACTGTTTTTCAATTAAACATTTTAAATGATTAAAAAAATTCGAGTAGTTTAAAGATAAATCTGGAGTTTGGTCTAGATTATACTTTTCTGGGTCACGATACATTATTAGTTTTACTGTTATGAATAAAATAAAAAAAAATGTAAAAACTTTAGTGAAAGTTAATTTCTCACTCACTGTTACTTTTGTAAATCCAAAATATTGCCAATAAATACCCAAAAAATGTCTCACTTCCCATTCAGTCTGCTGCCAAGACAGTGAAACACCAAAAAAAAATTCACTATCTCCGCTTAACCACCGTTCCAACTCTGTTATGGGTTGTTGCGTCAGCTCCGCCACCTCAGACCAGAAAGATGATCTCGTCTCCGGCAAGAACACAGCACCGTCTCCATCTGTTGTCGAGGAAGAGACAGTAGTCAAAGAAGTCTTGTCCGAAACCACATTGATAACTTCCTCGAACGACAATTCCGCAATTGAGACGACGACGAACAAGATTCCGGAAGACGAGGAGAAGAAACCCGGAGCTGTCGACGTTGCTCCAGACCCGGTTTTAACAAAACCCGGTTTGGTTGAACCGGAAAAAGGATCGGAGGTTTCGGAAATTTGTAGTTTGAGCGAGAGTCTGCTTTCGATCGTGAATGGGTACGACGAGGAAGAAGTAAAACAGATGAAAGCGCAGGGAGTGAGACAGAGATCTCCGGCGAAATCTCGGAACCGGGTCATGGTTAATTATCCGACCCGGAGAACCGATATGTCTCCCCGTAAGAGAAACATCGAAGGAGGAGGAGAAGGAACTGGCTCGGTGAGCTCTGGTCAGAGAGATCCGACTGAAAGGTCCGAGAGGAGGAGGTCCAGGTCGCCGGCAATGAACAGGTCCGTGATGATGGGTCCGACTCGAAATCCGAACCATTATTGCACGGATAATGGTGGAGCAATGAGGAAAAAAGGCCAGTCTCCGGGTCGGGTCAGCTTTGATCCGAGTAAAAACGGGTCAGATCAAGACTGTCATCATCATCTGTCGAGTTGCGGTGCGGCAGGGCTGAATTGCAATTCTACCTCTAACGACTCGTTTGAGAACCCTCTTGTTTCCTTAGAGTGTTTCATCTTTCTATAAAACTATTACGAAGAACGAGTATCCCGGGGCCTAATAATCTCGAATTATCTCCGGTTTAATCATAATATATCGTTAATCTACCTTTGTATTGGTTTTATATTTTTTTGTTGTCGACAATTTCGAAGTTATTCATCTATTAGTATTCATAAAAATTCGCAATTATACAAGATTTGTTTAAATTTTGGTGATTATAAAAGAAAAGAAATATTAGTGAAACTATTTTTTTTTTTTGGTCAAATATTAGTGAAACTATATGATGTGTGAGTTGGACGGCAAAAGATTTACTTCTGTGACATCAATTATTATATATTCTGACAGAAAAAAAATCAGACGCAAGCAAAGGCTTCCTAACTTTGACTCCCCCCCCCCCCCAAAAGTTACCATACACTAAATTTAGTTTATTTTATGTGAATGAAAAAAATATTAATTTTCTTCTCGTTCAAATAATGCATAATTGAGCTTTCGTCATATACACGACTAGACTCTAATATGTAGACTAATATTTATACTAGTATCTTTGTGTTGTCGTCTACATTAACATACTATTTGAATATGTGATGTGAATTATATATTAAATGAACTTTTTTGTCAACAGTTAAATGAAAAATTTAGCAATCGAAGTATTTAATTATTAGAATCAAATTGTTGTTGTATACTGGTCTAAGAGTTGATTCATAGATTAAACTCTCGTATTTGTATGTATATAGAGCTCAGTTACAAACAAATCCAATATATTATTATTACAAGTTTTATTGAATGTCGAATTTTAAAGATTCTCATGACCTTTTACATGACGAACATACATCAACATTTGAGATTATGTATTATACAATTGATACTGGATATTATATGATGAGATTCGTTTATCCTAGACATAGAGACATAGTCAGTTGTAAAATGTTAAAATCTAGTGATAATATGTTAAAATGTTCAGTGTTCATGTAACAAATAACAAAAACTAGTCTTATCGAATATTATTTTCTAATCGTTTAATATGTTTGGAATATTTATATCCACAGCCTTACTTAAATCTCTTCTATACACACTCTATCAAATTCTGTCACCTTAGCTTAGATCTTCAATCGTTTAATCAATATTGGGATGCACCAATTTGGTCATTAGGTAGTATTTATACTTTGAGATCAGGTATTTATTTTGTAAATTACAAATTTCGATTTTCTTTCGTCTGGTAAATCATTCAAACGTTTTTTTTCCCATGGCAATTTAGGTTCCATCTTTTGGAGATAGCATTGTAAAGATTTTGCTTTTTAACGTTTTCTTGCTTGTCCTTTTGTACCCCACATCACGTATACTAAAAATTTTGGATGAATGCTGAATAAATTCGGCGAGAAAAGAGTTTTTTTTTTACCGTTAGTTGATTTCTCTAAAAAGTTTGTGGTGGGCATACTTTATGTTTTTTTTTCATTTCCTTTTTCAACTTTGTGGTCATGCTTAGGCATATCAAATAAATGAAAACAGGATAAAAACATACGTTCTCATCAGTTAAATATTATTTTAAAACTGTAGATTGCATCACAGCAAATTGATATGAATAAAGTTTGAAAACTGAAGTTTGGGCTGATCAAGTTTGATACTTATCGAACTTCAGATGTTCGACACTCTGAGAAACCATAACTTTTTTCCCCTAAAACTTTGATATGCATATTGTCCCTCGAAAAAACCATAACCTTTTTATATTGTTGTGAGTCTGATTTATAACGGATCGAAAATGGTAGGGCAGAAAATGCTGGGAAGAACAGTGTAAAACAAAAATTTGAAGTAAAAGGAAACTAGTATTAATTTAAATAAATGAAACATTCGTTGTATGCCTTGGATCCTCTGGTCTAACAGGTGACCAAAAAGTACCATTTGCATTCTTTAATTTTGTTTCGCTTTTTTAGGTAATGAGAGACCATGTTAAAAATTAAGGACAAAAATAAAGCCTAACTTTATAAGATCTATATATTTTGCCTAAACACCTTTTCAAAGAGACCAATAGTTTGAATCAACATTAATACATCTGCCAATCTCATAACTAATTTTTGTTTGTATATACTAGTACGCCAATCATTATTCGATTAACGCAACGTTTGAATTGATGGTTCAACCAGTGGTTTATATAACAAGGCTATTGATTTGGGTTTTCAGGTTATTCAAGTACAAGAATCAAAGTGAATCCCAATTTAGTTTGCTTTTGTATGATATAGTTTTGGTTCGAGTTCAGTTACGTAATAACTTATAATGTATGTAAAATTTTCTAAATATAATTTGAATCTTGTTAGTTAGCTGAAAGACTAATCATGTAAAGTGAGAGATCATGTTAACTTTTCACCATGTAACTAACACTCTTATAGTATCTAGATTCTAGAAATTTCTTAGATGACAGAGTATTTGTTACTTTCCTAAGTTGTAATTAATTTTAGTTTCTGTCCCGAATCTCTTGGTTGTTGTATGATAAAAAGTAATTCTCAAATGTAGATAAGTAAAACCAAAATTAATTCGGTATTTTGATTTGATATCGGTTCGGTTTATCATGATTGGCATCTTGGTTTGGATTGAGTATGGTACGATAGTTTTAGCCGTTGAAATCTCTTTGCGTTTTAGGCCAACGAGAGGTAACTTCCTTCAAGTGGGCTTTACAATCACATTATCGACCAATTTAGCCCATATCATGTTTGTGCAGCCCACTAGTTCATGTAAACGGATTCACCAACCATGTCTACTCGGATCATAAATAGTTCATGTAAAATATCAGAATTAATCACATATGCGGAATATCAAAGCTAATCTCATCTCAAGCTATGAAATGATGGCATGCCATTTTATTATTACGATTGAATTGTTCACAACTCCTCCATCACATCAACAAAACAATAAAATACAAATTAGATATATATTCCTAAAAAAACGATAAACAGTGATTGTAAGTTGTAACTATAAACAAAAAACCAGAATTCTTAAATGCTAATAGAAAAACAATAAAGTGTAATCATGAATTTGTCTCTTTTTTTCTAAAGTTTGTAGCACAAAGTTAAGTTTTAGTCATACACTTTAGAAGATATCTGTAATAGTTTTCAAGTTTTAGTAAGTGTTTCAACTTTCTAAGTAACTTAACTACAACATCATCTAGACATCAACCAATATATATAATTTTTTTTTTTGTGTTGTGGCATCAGAATCTGTAGGATAATAATAATAATAAAACAACTAAAACAATAATCTCACAAGCACACATTTTTACAACCCAGGAGCATTGATTACCAAAGATAAAAATGGGAGTGGGGTGAAAATTTTGACAGCGTAGGGTCTCACTATCTTCTACCATAAAACACTTAGCAGAGCTTTTCCACTTAACTCCTTTCCTGGCCCATCGCACTGAATATGTTGTAATATAAGTCCGTAATTGAGTCAGCAGATAATTATATCATTTCGATTTATTAGGAGTTTGGCTAACGGATAATATATCACATAAATATGTGAATTAATTAATGGATGACCTATATTATTTGGATTTTAAATATTTTCATTTGTGAATTATCAATTGATATATACAACTTACAACTGTAAACACAGAATGTTTTCCTTAGTATTCTTGGAGAAGACAATGTTTTTTTTATAGAATTGAATCAAAACGATAATTCATTTCTACCTGATGGCACTAGAAAAACCCAGTTGCGTAAAAATAAAATAAATGAAGAAACTATAGTTAGATGAGCATTAGTCATTAGGGGACAAAAAAAAAACATAAGAATTTGGACAAGAGAGAGAAGTCTTTGAAAGTTTTTCTGTTTCACACTTTGAGACGAAACCTTGAACTGAGAAAACAAAGCCGTTGGCTTTTGTAAGCCGCTCGTTCTTCGAGACAAAACACACTACTCTCTCTCTCTCACTCACTCTCACTCTTCAACTATTTTCCTCTTTCTCTCTCCCCTTAAAATCCGACGAAATTATGTTTCACTTTCCCTTTTAATCAGGAAAATCCCTGTTTTTCCTTCTCCTTCCTAAGGTTTTCTTCCACATTACCTCAAACACTTCGTTTACCTGAAGTTTTCTTGGAAACAAACAGTACAGTATAATCCAAGTACAAGGGTTTCCTCATCTTCTGTGGAGACTGAAGCTATGAGCTTTACAAGACGAGAAGTGTTCTTTGTTCTCTCTGTTTTAGCCTTGACAATGCCGTTCTCGGCTGGAGTCACCAATCTACGAGATGGTAATCATTCTCTTCTTCCTTCTGCAAGTTTTCAGTTTTAGTTTTGCTTTGTCTGTTTATTGAACACACTAGATTATGAGTTCTGTCAAGTGAAAGTGACTTGCATCAGTTTTAGGGTAAACTAGACAACGCATTAGCTTTGTCTTCAATGCTCCAGATTGGCAGATTCTACTGCTCTGAGACAAGATTCAATAACCCTAAAGTTTTGGTTTTTGACAAATAAGCTTTTGTTAGGGTTTAGTTCAAAGCCCTGAAATTTGCGTTTGTCCTCAATTAAATTGGTTATTTTCAGAAGTACTCAATGATTTTTAGAAATTGTGGAAGATGCATAAATGATTTGTGATGGGTTTATTTGTTGTTTCTCCTCTTGCAGTTTCAGCGATTAATAACTTGTACATTAGTTTGGGCGCACCATCTCTATCTCGTTGGCTTGCTTTTGGAGGAGACCCTTGTGGAGAAAAGTGGCAAGGTGTTGTCTGTGATTCCTCAAACATCACGGAAATGTATGCTTCCTCTTCTGCTCGTTCAACTCTTATCATGGTTTGCTTAAGAGTCACCAAAAGAAGAAACTTTATTCAGGTTCTGACTAGGTGATTATTGTTTTTGGCTGCAGAAGGATACACGGTATGAAGGTAGGTGGAGGCTTAAGTGATACTTTGGCTGATTTTTCATCGATCCAAGTGATGTAAGCTAAGCTTCTTGTTTTGTTTTGTTTTGTTTCATCTTCATGTCTCTTTTGAGGCTTCTTGCTAATAAAGAACATTAAAAAAGAGTGCTTTATGATATTCTTTTTCTCTTCCTTGTTTGAATGGACAGGGACTTCAGTAACAATCATATTTCAGGGACGATTCCGCAGGCTTTGCCTTCTTCCATCCGAAACCTGTGCGTTTAAGAATAGACTATTTTTTTAATGGCAATACTTATGATTCAACAGTTTTAAACAGTTAAAATACACTCCCCTTATGGTTTCACTTTCTTGTTTCAGATCTCTCTCTAGCAATCGCTTCACTGGGAACATTCCCTTTACATTGTCCTTTTTATCCGAGTTGTCAGAACTGTAAGTCTTTGTTAAAGAAGATCCCGTCTCTTCTTGCATCTGCGATTTTTCCCTCGGTTGTAAAGCAGACTCTTTTCTTTTCCCTTCAGGACGTTGGGAAACAATCTTCTATCGGGAGAGATACCCGATTACTTTCAGCAGTTATCAAAACTGACAAAACTGTATGTTTTCTCCTTTCTTAATCTCATTTTTTTTCCTCTCATCGTGGTCTTTCGCTTATGTGTTTAGTTTCTAATGCAGAGACTTATCGTCCAACATACTTACCGGGCGTTTACCTCCCTCCATGGGAGACTTAGCGGCTCTTAAGATATTGTAAGTGCTCATATTTTGGAATATGAAGGTAAAAACAGATTGTTACCATTGGTCTTATATCTAATGTGGTTGGACTGCAGGTACTTGCAGGACAACAAGCTCATTGGAACACTTGACGTTATAGAGGATCTTTTCTTAACCGATTTGTAATCTTTTCTTTCGCCTTGCATACTCTTTCTTCTTGACTCCAACCATAAAGCCAACTTCAGTAACTCACTATGGTTTATGATACTTTTTGGTTCAGGAACGTAGCAAACAACTTATTCTCGGGACCTATACCGCCAAATCTGCTGAAAGTTCCAAATTTCAAGTAAGTACCTTTCAAGAAAAGCCGCTTTGGTATTGTTTTCTCTTTCCGTTCAAGTTTTTATCGTCATTACAACCGCAGAAAAGATGGAACTCCGTTCAATACATCCATTATAACACCGCCTCCGCCTGCGGCTGATCCTCCTCCCGCTACTCACCGTTCTCCTCCTGCTACCCGTGTCCCTCCTGTTTCCGGTGTCCCTCCTGCTCCTTTTGCTCCTTTTGCTCCATTGCAACGACCACCACCATCACCACCTCTGGTTTGGTCACCGCCTACTGATAATGGAGGAGGAGGAGATCCCTGGAACCCTGTCTCGGGGCAACCTACCTTGCAAATATCACCTCCTTCAGGTTCAGGATCAGGAAAATTCTGGTCCACTCAAAGAATCATTCTAGTCGTTTCTTCAGTGGCCATAATAGTTCTTGTATCGGGTCTGTGTGTTACACTGTGGAGATGTTTTAGAAGCAAGAAATATAGCCGATATGGTGCTGAAGCTCGTAAAGATTTTCAACGACCATACTTCAATAAACCTCCATCTCAACCAATCCCCACCTTGGGAAAAGGTACACTGATTCTATTCCTTCCAAGAAAACAAACTTGAGTTTTGACTCATTAGCTGTCCTCAAAATGGTTTTCTTTTGTTTAACAGTTTCCCGAGAGCCCATGGTTAAGCCTTACGATGGATATGGAGCTGGAGACAGGAAATACGGGTACCCTATGCCACCACGGGCTGAAGAGAGCAGGAGACCGATGCCTCCTACTTCATATTATAATAAGGATGTTGATACGCCGCAAAAACCGCTACAACAACCACCAAGGCATTTCCAGGCCAATGATGGTGCTTCAAAGAGAGCGGCTCATTTTCCTCCGGGCTTGAATTCTTCATCTTCCGCTACCGTCTTCACCGTTGCTTCACTTCAGCAATACACAAATAGTTTCTCAGAAGAGCATATAATCGGGGAAGGGTCGCTTGGTAATGTCTACAGAGCTGTGTTTCCTCATGGGAAGGTGTGACACTTTCCTCTTTTCTACAATTTGGCCATTGTGGACTCTTCTTTTACATCTTGATATCTTATTATGTTTCAAACACTCTGTGATGTGTAGTATCTTGCGGTGAAGAAGCTGAGCAATACCATCAACAGAACGCAGAGTGATGGTGAATTCCTCAATTTGGTCTCCAATGTGTTGAAACTTAAACGTGGGAATATATTGGAGCTTCTTGGTTACTGTAATGAGTATGGTCAAAGGCTGCTTGTGTATGAGTACTGTCCTAATGGATCACTTCAAGATGCACTACATTTGGATCGCAAATTGCACAAAAAGCTCACCTGGAATGTGCGTATGAATGTTGCGTTAGGAGCTTCCAGGGCATTGCAGTAAGTAAAATGAGCCTCAAAAGTGTTATGCCAATCTATATTTGGAACATCTAGGAACTTAAAGAGTTTGGTTTCAGGTTTCTTCATGAGGTATGCCAACCGCCGGTTGTACACCAGAATTTCAAGTCTTCCAAGGTTCTCCTTGATGAAAAGCTCTCAGTACGTGTTGCAGACAGCGGTTTGGCTTATATGTTACCACCACGCCCAACGAGTCAGGTAAAAAACTTCTCTTTGTTGTCTGATTTTGAAGATCCCAAATCCTGACATAGGAGTGAGTACTACTGTAAGGGAAATGATGTTTGCATACAAAATTGTAGATGGCGGGTTATGCTGCTCCTGAGGTTGAGTACGGAAGCTACACTTGTCAGAGTGATGTATATAGCCTTGGGGTCGTGATGTTAGAATTGCTCACTGGACGCAGACCATTTGACAGGTTAGCATACTCTGAAGAGATAACAGTAAGAACACAAAAGAGTGGAGAATATATTTTTGACTTAAGAAAAATCCCTGGTTTTGCAGGACAAGGCCAAGGGGGCACCAGACACTAGCTCAGTGGGCGATTCCTCGGCTTCATGACATCGATGCATTGACAAGAATGGTTGATCCGTCGCTACACGGAGCATATCCAATGAAATCGTTGTCACGTTTTGCAGATATCATATCACGTTCTCTACAGGTATAGTTCACAATCATTCATCACCAATCTAGATGAGAAAAAAGCAATGTCACTTTTTACATCTCTGCCTGGTGATCTTTCTGTCTGTAGATGGAACCAGGATTCAGACCGCCTATATCTGAAATTGTCCAAGATCTTCAACATATGATCTAAGATCTGCAACCTGAGACTACCACGCAGAAGCCATATTTTTTACTGTCAGATTCTTGTTCTATGTGCGTCAACATCATCCTTTTATGAATGAAATTCGTACAACCTATTTCTCTTGTATCATAATAAAACTTGTGTTTGTTGGCTGAATGGAAATGATCATGTAACATATTAGGCATTATATACCATTCTGGTGGTGTGTTTAGACTTTAGATTAACTGCCATGTTCCAAAATAATAACACTAATACGCAAAAGACATGAAGACTGAAACTCGGAAACATCACGGTTCACATCATGACTAAGATTGTTGCTTAAAGTAATATATAAGGCATCCTAATACGAAATGCTTAACAAACATTGTGATTTGAAATAACTGCTTATAAGAATCTAAAGTTGCACCAATTCTCTTCTTTTAAGATTGCCCAACAAAATATATCATAGTTTCTCTTATTTTGGCTTCTTTGGGAGTAAGCTCCCTAAAGCCGTGGTCAATGCAGTGGATGTCATTAGTGAAGCTCTCAATAAACTATGATAAGTAACATTGGCCATCACTGCTCGGCAATACTCACCACAACCATTAATTAGTTTCGGACAGAACATATTAAAAAACATGATTTTGAACCTGAATAATTTGAAACATTTCTAAATTCAGAAAGTTTATTCACGTCTGTCAATTCTTATGCATAATGGAAGCAAGACCGGTTGGGTTCGGTGGATGATTTCCAAAAGGCCAAAACGCATAGGGATAACAGAAATATTGTTGAGTTAGTTTCGGTTTAGTGTCAATCCGGTGTAGCCAAACATTTCTTAGGATATCTAAGAAGGGTTTCGGTTTAAGGAACTTTTTTTTTTGCTTTTCGCTACCAAAGAACCGTTGTTGATTAGGATAACCGTTGTTGTGCACGAAAGCTTTAAAGCAACAAACATGGCAAGCACTTATAGATCATGTTGTGCTCATGCCCAAAAAAAAACGAAACCACTATATTGATTAATTCCTAACTTTATATATAAATGTTACAGATCATACCAACCAGGATCTCAACTGTGATCTAACTTAACAAGACACGATCACATTACCTCCATTTTGTGTTTATTGTTTTTTTGTCAACCCCAATATTACTGTTTGCCTGTATTTATTTATCTGCGTTTATAGTTTGAAAACAATATCAAAAGATGATAACACAGTCGACAAAAAAAGTGTGAACACCTTTCTTAGCAAAAAAAAAAAAAAAACAAGTGTGAGCTTTATATCTACTTATCTAGGGATAATATATAGGAGTAACGTTTAAACCCAAACACAAATATTTAAAAAATTAAGTTCAATTAAAATTCGTTTCCATAGTCAACCTTGAAATGAACGATCAAATCAATACATATATATGACCAAATAGTTTTAAAGTCAATATAATCCGAGTTTGTGATCAATTATCCACTCACAAGTTGTCTAACAAATAAATGTTAAATGCACATTATTCTTCTTTATTTATTTTTAAAGCTCTGATCTGGTTGTAGATTATATCCTTGTATCGGTTATAAGAAACATTCAATGTTAGAGATGGTATGACAATATGACATTCAACATGAAATTAAGGCCGTTCAGTTGGTTGTGTGACACATTGAGTACAACATTCCAATTTAATTAGTTGATGATAGCTTTTTAAAATTTAAATCAAATTGCGATCGACGTCATAAAATACAAGTACGACAAAAGAAGGGTATCTTCGTCAAAATAATTAACGACGAGGAAACAGGCTTCACGGCCCAATACTCTGAAGTTTTCAACGATTTTATAAAATAAAATAAAAAATACCAACCGGATTTTTTAAAAAAAAATTAACGAAAATGACAGAATCTGAAAAGCGGAAAGAAAAATTCTTCGCTTTACCTTTTTCTCCTTTTTTTTTTTAGTCTCGTCTCTGTTTTTTCGTCTGCTCGTGCCACTCTTTGAATCTTAAGTTTTCTCGTTTCGTTCTTGTCTCTCCGGAAAATTCAAACTCATAAATGGAGTATTTAACTTCCTTGTGTCGTGACATTTGAAGTTTCTATTTTCAAAATCTCTAAGAAACTTCCAACTCTGTCGTGCAAAGACATTTAAACTTTTTTTTCTTTCCCAGCTCTGATTTCTAATTCGTCTATTGATAACCGAAGCTATAGATTCGGGTTTCAGCTTCGTATTCCTATTGTAAAGCACATGAATTGACTGAAATCGAGTAGGAAAAATGGCGAAGCGTGGATATAAGCTGCGTATCCTTATATTCTCTGTTTGATATTGTTGGAAACTTAACCTGAATTCAAAGAACAAGACTTTAGCTAGATTTTTGATTCTTCTCACCCCTCTAATAAAGATTTTTCGGTATATCTATAACTGCAGCGTTAGGGTTTATCTGCATTAGTGGGGTTTATGTTCTTTTTTTTGTTTTTGTTGTAAACTGCCATTGACGAGCTTGAATTTTTTGGATATTCCATGAAATTTCCTAAACGAGACCGATGGTAGAAGAGACATTGTTATTGTTTTTCCTCTGTTTGCCTTGTATTGTTTTCTTGCTATGATTTGTCTGCAAATAGTTAATATTGATTTGCTCTTGTGTATAACTTGACTTGATTTGGAAAAAATAAAATAAAAGAGGAGTTTTTGGCACATTCCGCAAATGTGAATTGTCTAAGTATCGGAAAGAGGACATCACGGCTCCTTATAACCGGCGGAGATGATTATAAGGTCAACCTTTGGTCGATCGGCAAACCCACTTCGCTAATGGTCTGTTTCACATTTCTTTCTCTCGTAATTAGTTCCTCCTAGTGTTTCGTTTGTATTTTTGTATCAAAAGTTGTTCATGTTTGTGTTCTTGTTTCTCTCGATGGAAGAATGATGTAATTTTCTTTCCTGTGTTGTTGACAGAGTCTTTGTGGGCATACAAGCCCGGTTGACTCAGTAGCCTTTAACTCGGAAGAAGTTTTGGTGCTTGCTGGAGCTTCTTCCGGTGTGATTAAGCTGTGGAATCTAGAAGAAGCAAAGAGTAAGCTGATTGATTTTTCCTTTCTCATTTACAACTTTTTTTGGTATTCCATATGTATGCCTAGTTTATAGTGACAAAATGATTAAGAGGCACTGGAGATGTTGTCCGGAGGAGTTATAAGTCCTGTGATTGAGTAGTCTACATCAGCTATAATGTGAGTTTCTTTAAGATGATGAGGTCTAATATTTTTAACTGTTGCTCTTGAAGTGTAGTGGTTCGAGCTTTTATTGGACACAAATCCAATTGTTCTGCTGTTGACTTTCATCCATTTGGTCAATATCTCGCGTCCGGATCCAGTGACACAAACCTAAAGATTTGGGATATCAGAAAGAAGGGATGCATCCAAACATACAAAGGTCATACTCGTGGCATTGGCACTATCAAATTTAGTCCTGATGGTCGTTGGGTAGTGTCTGGAGGACTTGACAACGTTGTAAAGGTAAGAGCAGCAGTATCAATAAGTGGACCTTGTACATTGTTTTTATCTTCTCTTTATTGAATCCAATAGATCTGGGATTTAACTGCTGGAAAGCTCTTGCATGAGTTTAAGTTTCATGAAGGACCTATCCGTTCCCTAGACTTCCACCCGCTTGAGTTTCTCCTAGCCACAGGTGAGTTCCTGGCTACAATTTATTTTTCACGCATTTTAGGGGTAAATTGTTGGCTGCTTTCAGTTAGTTTACATCCAAAAGTTTTGTTTTGAGGTCTCCTGATATCATTTACTACGCCATTCACTATTCAGGTTCTGCTGACAAGACTGTGAAATTCTGGGATTTGGAAACGTTTGAGCTGATTGGATCTACTAGACCAGAGGTACCTTATCTTGTTTGATTACAGCCTTGCTTTGAGAAGATTGTATAAGATATGTGCCAAGTGATAATGTAGTCCCTTTAGGCGATACCATGGAAGTCAAATAAAGTAATTGGAACCAACAAAGTAGCATCTGATGAATTTGTTTTAGCTTTGGGTTTACTTTATAATCTTATCATAGAACTTGGTTTTTATTTGCACTATTGTCAACCTTCTTGCTGGCATGTGGTGTCCTTTGCTTCACAGGCTACTGGAGTTCGTGCAGTCACTTTTCATCCGGATGGACGAACCCTTTTCTGTGGATTGGATGATGGCTTGAAGGTACTGATTGTCTTTGTGATTAAGTATACAGCTTAGATGATGTCCAAAGTCAAACATTGATATAGTAAGTTCATGCTCATAATGCAGGTTTATTCATGGGAACCAGTGATCTGCCGGGATAGTGTTGATATGGGATGGTCCACACTTGGTGACTTGTGCATCAACGAAGGAAAGTTCATTGGTTGTTCCTATTACCGAAATTCTGTCGGAATTTGGGTCTCAGATATATCGGTATGTCACCTATTGCCCATTGTCTGTAAGTTTGCAAGATTATGTGAAAAAAATGAATCTTGAACGTTTTGAAACGGTTTGTGTTGTTTGCTTTTCAATTCGTTTTAACTAGAAACTTGAGCCATATGGAACTGGATCTGAGGATAAGAATGAATGCATGGTGAAAAAGTTCAGCGTCTTGAATAATCAGTCGTCTGAGAGAATGGGGAGTTTCCCAAGGGGCAGTTCATCGCCAGATTATGAGACAAAAGAGATAAAGAACATATACGTTGACTGTGAGTGAATGTTAATCCTGTTTTTATAAGCTCATGTCCTTTTAAGTGTGGGGTATTAGTATAAATCACACTTGCTCTGATATGAACCTCTCTTCTTTCAAAAGCCATAGGTGGACATCTGACTGTAACGCAAAATCCAGGATCTCTGAAAGTGACATTTCCTTTGGAATCAGGAAAAGTCGCTAATACGACGAGCGAGAAGCAGAATGCAACATGTTTTGGACAAGCAGAGGATAAGTCTTCCAGGAGGCATTGTGTTGTATCACGGGATAGTGATAGTGGGGAAGAGTCTTCTCATTCAGGAAGGGAATCTATCACTTTCTCAAAAACCAAACCGGGTATGTTGCTTAGACCAGCTCATGTAAGAAAGACGCTAGCAAAGTTTGAGGAACCAAATCAGTCAGTTGCTGTTCAATCTGAAACTGGGAAGAAAAGCGGATTGGATATTGAAGAAGAGCCACACACTCAAAATGTGTTCCTTTCAGAACAGAGCGGTAGTAAACCATTTGGTGCTGAGGATTCTACCATCAAGGGAATTACGTACAAGTTTAAAAAAGCTTTATCATCGGAACCACCAACTGATGAAACGAATCGTAGGTTCTCTGTTCTCAGACTTTAGTTTTCAGATATATTAGTCGATGTTTTGAATATCTCTACAATCTTGCCTCAGGTATGTTGCATAAACCACCTCGAGTACATAGGTCATCATATAACAGTTACTATGAGTCAAGACGAGCAATGTCTGTTGATTCTGGGACTTTTGACGACAACAAAGAGGATATCAATAACCAGCCAATTTCCTCCAAAAATGAAAGACTTCTTTCACCAGAAAAACCTGGTGATGAACAGAAAAGTAAGTTCTTGATTCAAAATCAGAACTGACTAATTTTGTGGGCATTTTGTTGTTAAGAAAGTTTTTCTCCAAAAATTGAATATGTTAGAACTAAAAGACAGTCTATGATGCCAAAAGACATCTAGTTACCAAATCTTGGAGAAGAATAATTCATTGGCAGAAAAGTCTCTAGCAGTAGCGTATAGGTTGTTACAATCTAAATCCTTAGCTACTTGAAGAATTTCCTTCACTCTGTTCATCATTTCTAGTCTGTTTTAGTTCACTTGGTTTTGAGGCAACAATCATTTAGTAATTGGTTAGTATAAAATTTTTACAATGTAGACACTGCATAACTTGGTGGCAGCAGAGAATTGAATCTTGCGATGATTATTGGAGCGTTAGGAGTTCAAAACTTTGCTGTCTTTGCTTTTCCTCGGTAACATCTGAGTCAGCTAACTATTGTTTCCTTAAATTTTTATCTTTGCAGTAAAAGTTGTCTCGGGGAGGACACGCTCATTGGTTGAAAGGTTTGAGAGAGGAGAACAAATTACTCATATCGAAGCAGCCAGTACAACAATAACTCAGAATACTAAAGCGGTGCAGGAAGATCCGCATAAGACATCAAGACAGACAGTTGAAACTCCAGTTATATCAACACGACGAGCTAGGAGTACTCCAGCGCGAGTGATTCCTATCGTACTCAATCGGGATAGTAACATGAAATATGATGAGCCTCCTTTAACACAACCAGCTTGGAATTCTCCAGTTCCAGTGATGCCTATGATACTCAAGCAGGCTACTAATGTCACACATGAAGAGCCTTCTATAACACTAACACAACAATCTAGAACTTCTTCAGCTCGGATATTGCCTGTGACACTTAACCAGACAACAGATATTGCATATGATGAGGCTTCTGTTACGTCAAGAAGACCACACAGAACTTCCACAGCTCGAGTAAGGCCTATGTCACTCAGTCAGCCAATGGACATGACATCTCATGAGTGTCCTGTAACATCAACACGTCCAGATAGGACTTCTCCAGCTCGTGTAATGGCCACGAAACGCAATCAATCTGATGACAGGACATATGATACATCTCATATCGCATCCAGACACCGAGTTAGTCCAATTCAAATGCTGGCTACGCCCACTGTGATTGATCAGGTGGTTGATATGAAATTGGATGAGACGCATGTATCACTAACTCAAACATCTTGCGATATCTTAACTCAGGTACCTTGCAATGGTTAGCTTTGGCAACTAATAGTTACAAAAAACTTTGGTCTCAACGTTTAGAATGCAGCTTGTTCTATATCTGATTTTGGCAACTTAGACACATGTGGCACAAGATTACTATTGTATATACCATCATACACATGACAAACGTATTTTGATTGTTTTTGTTTTTTGCAGAAGGAAGAGCCTCGGATATCTGGGAGAGAGAATGATTGTGACATAACTGAAAATCTAATGCAAACTCATAATGAGTTCTTAAGCACTCTTCAATCGAGGTTGACAAAATTACAAGTAAGCGTTCTTGTTTCTGTTCTTCTCTCTCACTGTTATTTGTTACAGTGTTCATCTGCAAGTGATTGGTTTTTCAAAAACATGCAGATTGTTAGACATTTTTGGGAGCGTAGCGATGTCAAAGGCGCGATCGGAGCCTTGAGAAAGCTGACAGATCAGTCTGTGGGTATCTCAGATTCTTAGTAGAGGTTACCTTTTTTATTTGATGTTGGATGTTTAGATAAGCTAACTCACAGATCACTGGGACAGGTTCAAGCAGATGTGATAAGTATCCTAACCGACAAGATAGAGGTTCTCACATTAGATATGTTTTCTCAATTGGTCCCCGTCCTCACAAGCTTATTGGGTAGCAGGACAGAGAGGTAAAAAAACTTCATATTATATTTCCACCATAGCCTAAGAAACAGAGTTTTTATAAACAATCTTGTGCTTTATCTGTTGTTTTGTTAAATTTGGGATTTTTACATTGTTGTGCAGGCCGGTACATGTCTCCCTGGAAATGCTCTTGAAGCTTGTAGCAGTGTTCGGTACAATTATACGCTCAACTGTCTCAGCTCCACGGATTGTCGGTGTTGATCTTCATGCCGATGAAAGGTACTCGAGCTCACACCACTCTCTAGAAACCTCAGTTAGTTAAATATATGTTGACAATCCGTAGTTACAATGCAGGATACAGATCTGCCAAATTTGTTCTGCGGGACTGCACAAGATTCAAAGGATTCTTCCAATTCTCGCAAGGTAAACACATCCGAAGCACCTTGCTCTCATCAATCTTCTAATGAATCTTAATGGAAATCGGATTCTTTGCTTATATTTCTTGTTTTGGCTCTCTCTTCTTCGATCTGAATACAGAAGAGGCGGTCTGATAGCAAGAAAGGCTCAAGAACTAAATCTAACACTTCAAGAACCATAGCCACACATGCAAAACCAACAATGATCGTATAACAGCTCCGCAAGCTCTTGTAACTGTACATTACAAACTCATAGTTATAATTTATCATATATATATTCTACAACATATACACTTCTACACTTTTTCTCTTTCCTCTCTCACTTCTCTCTGTCGTTTCTTCTTCTTTTTTCTCTCCCTCATCTTCTTATCTCTCTCACGTTGCTTCTCTTTCCTTTCTTCTTCTTTTCTCTATTTCTTTTCTAAATTTTTTGTCATTCTTTCCTTGTTTTTCTTATCTTTGTTTCTCATCTTTATTTTCTTCATTATCTTAGTATACTTAGTAGTATAATATAGTATAATGTACAATTTTTTGTTTTTTTTTAATAAGGGTATTTTCATCAAAAAAAAGTCAATTGGTTTTTCACCTAAATGATTTTTGCTATAGCTATATTCTTAATTTTGTATCCCAAAAAAACCACACAAAAAAACACATGAAAAGTTGTATGTGCTAAAACCACACAAACAAAAGAGAGAAATATTAGTGTATGCGAGGAAAGAGAGATTAGCATGAAAAAAAAAAACACATGAAAAGTTGTATTTACTAATTCCACACAAACAAAGAGAGAAATAGTGTATACAAAGAAAGAGAGATTAGCAGCAGGAAGTATGGGCTCTCAAGTCCCAAATCACCTCTGTGAATGCTCTTTCCACATCTTCCATCGATACTAACCCTGATTTCGAACTTAGCACCACGGTCAGCATTTTTCACCACCCATAATTGTAAGTTTTCCATAGTTACTGAGAAGAACATGTATTTTTCCTCTTCAATAAAGGCCAATAACGGATCTAAGAACATATTTTATAGTGGTTAATATACTATTATAAGTTGTTTATTTTTATATTTTTATTATTATATATTTTAAAATTATGTTAAAAACACTTATAAATAGTAAACTAACGATTGACGATTTTTTAGCATACGCTATTAATTCATTTCAAGAACCATAGAACCACATGCAAAACCAACAATGATCAATTTGAAATGGAAATACTTGGAAACTAATTTAGTATATGATTGTTTGTAAATCACTTTTTGGAAATTATCCTTGTAGTTGTCGTTTCGTTGAACTGTAACTCACTTTGATGTAATTCTGAGTTTAATTCCTAACCAATGTACTAATGTTTTTGTGTAGTCTTTCTTATTTTGTCTACAATATCACTTGTAATAGATTTGAGTTGAGTTTAGTTTGAAAATCTTAAGAAACTCTATTGGTCCGACACAATCAATTCTACTTCGTATTTGAACGATAAAAGCATCCACGCATATTTGAATTTAGAAGATAATATCGTTTATGTTGTTACAAAAAATGAAAATTAATACAAATTTTTATGTAGATAATTGTATGGTAGGTTAAGTGGAGTCTCGTGAATTTTGAGCTGTGAGGAGTTTGAAAATGGCTGTGAAGCTGGAAATATCATGCTCTTTATGTATTAGCATACTCAATCAAACACAGACATTCTATAGAGTCAGAATATAATTTCCTCCAGCTTGTTTTAGAAAATTTTAGATAATTATGCTGACAATACGTTCTGAAGTATAACTAAAAACAGTTACATCGACAAACAAAACGATTTGTTGGCAATATGCAACCATATTTATCAACCAGAATTTTGATTTATAACTAAAAAAAGCCAAAAACATTGAATATGCAAGTCAAACGTCACATTTAACAGCTAGAATGGTATTATGTCAATTGTCATACGTTGCGTTTAATGCCCTAATTGCTTAACGGGGTAAATTATCAAGTTTATATACCGTTACACATTAAAACTCCTCCACTTTTGGCCATTTTGGTTGTTCGAAAATAGTAGTCCTAACCTATTCACGGTTTAGGGGATTTCTTCAATCTTTAGATATTATTACTAGAGTAATTTCATGAGACTTAAAATATTTAACGTCTTGCTCCTGCATGACTTCTATGATGAATTATGACTTGTTAACCATCTAAATATGAAATATCAATGAGAAAACTTGCAAACTTTGTTCTTCTATATTCTCCTAAAATTTGTAAACTCGTCCCATTTGATAGAGTATAGTCTTTAACGTTTTACCGCTTTTGCCGTTTTAGGCTTTCTTCCAACGGCTTTCTTACAAGTATTAGTTCATCTTACATAAACTGGATATTGAATTTTCATTGGCTAAATATTTAATGGTACTAGCTTTCTAGGATGAAATTAAGGCATATGAACGTATAAATAATCGTGGAATAAGTTTAAAATAGTCTAGGCATTGGTAGATTCGCAGATCAACTGGTTAGAGAGATGTTGTTTCGGTGATGTAATCAGAAACGAATATGAATTCCGTTTGACGAAAGATAATCTAACAGTTTGTTCGATTCAGTTTAGCATTTTCAAATAGAAAAAAACGAATTAATAGACGATAAAACCACAAAATATATAAAGATGTAATCAGAATCAAGTGAAGACTTTAAGTTATGTTGCATGTTAGGATCAGTATCACCTGCTGCTTACTATATAAATAAAAAAAAGTATCATCTGCTGTTCAACCGGCTAATCACACAGTGCGTCTGGAAGAGGAAATTCCACAACTAACATATACTAACTTTTGATTATTGATGGATTATGACAAATTTTAATACATGAGATTTACCATCTAGTATTTAGATACAGAGTTGCTTTTCTGTAACAACAACCAAATCAATATGTATTTTTTTTTTAAAAAAGTTTAATTCTATTTTATAAACAAAGATAAAATTCTATAGAAAATCTAATCAATCAGTTTCAGAGTCGAATTGAAGAAAAAAATATCAAACACAAACTTAAATGTGATTTTGGTAAAACAATCGAATCTAATCAACTATATTGGATCCAAATTAGATTTGGTTAAACCTGGCCAAAAACCTAAAATAAAAAAAAAATATAAATGTACATATCAAATCATAAATGGAAAAATTAGATTGAGGATCTCTAATAGTAAGGTTGCACAAATCAAGAAGAAGAACAAAAAATGGTAACTTATTGGGTTTCGCTGTTGCTTAATGAAGTGAACTACGCAGACACTCTTGTCTCATTGACGCAACACTAAAATAACAGAAGAACGCAAAACATGGAATATTTTTTTAGCTTGTTTCTTTTTCTACATTAGAAATATCAACTCTCTCTTTACTCGTAGAATCCAAAAATCCAAAATATCATTTTTATTTTATTTTATTTTATTTATATTCGTTAACCTGCTAAAAGTAAAACATAGGAGTAGGACACGAGTCGCGCCAGCTTTTTTTAAAGACTTTTGTTTTTATTTAATATATTTTATTTCTTATTTTGTTTGTTTTCCGATTCCACTAAAATATCTGTTATTAGGTTTCGTTTCGTTTTGTTTCATAAGATCGATCGATTATAGAAAATTATCGTGGCTATAAAAAATTCCCCAGTGTTTTTTGTCTTCCTTTCATGCAAAGCAAATAAAACTCTTCTTCTCTGTTTTTTTATCTGTCTCTGTCTCTCGAGCTGGCTCTGGTCTACTATCATCACAGTGATTCTGCATGTTTCAGAGATTCTCAAAGGTCTCGTCTTGTTCCTGATCTTTCTTTTGCCTGTGTTCTGTAATTTAATTTTCTCAGGCTCTCTAAACTTTTCTGTAGCTAAAGATCCTAAATTTTGAATCACGACCTCCATTAATTTCATCATTGACCTTTGTCGATTCCATTCTCTCTCTCTCTCTCTCTCCTCTGTCTTTTCGTAAACAGAGAGAGGTTTGAATTTGATGATTTCCTTTTATGTTTTTCTTTCTTCTATGCTTGTCAATAAATTTTGCAATCAATGAGAGCTTTTAAAATCCTCGTTTTCTATACTATTATATTAAACAGTGATTGATTAATCTTCTTTAGATCTATACAATTAAACAAATTCATCTCTTTTTTCTCTTTCTAATTCTCTATTTCGTCCTTCAAAAAAAATCATTGGCCGTTTCGCTTTCTCGGGCCCCAGGATGATTCGTCGTTTTCTAGTAAAGCTTTGTAAAACCTGAGAGAAGCCATCTATTGCTGTAACAAACTTGCCGCTTCAATTTTTCATTGCTGTTTTCCGGGAAAATTTTGTTTTTTCCAGTTTCTTGGCGTTATATATGAATGATGCATTCTAAAAGTTCCAGTTTTTAAAATAATGGGTATTGTGCATTAGGCTATCTGAATTTCTCAGTTTACACTGTTAAGCTTTGTTTGCTACTATCGTTTGTGCTATGTTAAGCGTGAGTGTTTTTGTCTCTTTGTGATGTTTTGGTTCTAAAATTGACAGCTGTTCTTGTGAGTATTCAGATTGACATAAGCTACATGCATGGTCTTGAAATCAGCCTATGAGAGTAAGGTTTAGTGACCAGTGAGGTGTCTTCTTGTTCTCTGTTCTTGAGAGAACACAAAGGCAGGTAAAAGTCTAGTGAGTTTTCTGATTCTTGAAAAGATTTGAAAAATTTCTTACAAGCTTTAGTCTTAGTTGGGGTTTGATTTGATTGTGTCAGATTAGATTATGGAACATGGTTTGCCGTCTATGAAGTCAATCAAATCATTGAAGTCACTTGTTAAGAAAAGAAACAATGCTCAAGAAGTGGTAAGCTTTGTTTTAATAGAAAGAACCTCGATTATGTTTGAGTTATTGTGCTGTTTCGACAACATAATGCTTGAGTCTTGCAGAGTAAACCAGGGTGGAAAATGAAGCCCTTTTTGGCTCTCATGTGTACAGTACTTTTGATCTTTTGGTATAAGACCACAAACATTCAGTTCGAACAGACAGAGGTAATGTTGGAACCTATGTTATCTTTTTGATTTCTTTGGATATGGTGATTTGATTATTTGATAAGTACACTCCTTTTTGATCTACCCTTCAGCTAGAAGAAGCAGATTATCCGTTTGACATGGCAACGGTAACATTTTGATACTCTTATGTTATCTTAGTTTCTTCATTTTGTCACGCATCACCAGTTTAATGTAGAGCTCATTTGGACAGGAATCTAAAACAGTCGATGAGAAATTAAAAGGCTTGCCGCGTGGTATCATACAGCCAAGATCGGACCTCGAATTAAAGCCTCTCTGGTCTAGTAGTAGTTTGAGGTCAAAGGTTAGAGCTTTTGCATCAAGAATCGAATATCTCTATTAGCTAGAGGAAACTCTGATGTGTGTTGTGATTTTTAAACGCAGGGTGTCGATATGACTAACCGTAACTTGTTGGCAATGCCCGTGGGAATTAAACAAAAGGTTAATGTTGACGCCATAGTAAAGAAGGTATTGCAAATCTTTGCTGAGTTTATCATAATCATAGGCATTGAAGAACAGGGCTTTCCGCTTAATGTAAAGCTCTTGTGTCTCAGTTTCTTCCAGCGAATTTCACGGTTGTTCTTTTTCATTACGATGGAAATATGGATAAATGGTGGGATCTGGAGTGGAGTTCAAAGGCCATACATATAGTTGCGCAGAACCAGACTAAATGGTTTTTATCTTTCTCTCATTCTCTATGCTTAGTTTATCTGCTTCATCTTTATATGTTCAAATTTGTAACATTGGGGTTTATAAAATATTCCTCTCTTTGATTTTTAGGTGGTTTGCGAAAAGATTTCTACATCCGGATGTTGTATCCATTTATGATTATATTTTTCTTTGGGATGAGGATCTTGGAGTAAAGAATTTCTCACCAGAGAGGTAAAGTAAAACTCAGATATTTAAAAATCTTCTTTACTATATACTTCTACAAGGAAAACGAGCAGAACTGAGTGTGACACCATTTTTCTGCAGGTATTTGAAGATAGTTAAATCACAGGGATTTGAGATATCTCAACCGGCTCTGGACTCAAACTCCACTGAAATCCACCATAAAATTACACTCCGTTCTCGAACAAAGAAATTTCACAGGTTCAAACTCTTCATTAAGGGAAGTTTTATTTTATTTTTTCTGACGCATTTGGTACTTACTTACAACATGATGCCAAAAACACAGGAGAGTTTACATCAATAGAGGCAGTAAAAGGTGCTCCAATGCTAGCGAAGATCCTCCTTGCACAGGGTAATGGTTTAGTAGGTGATCAATAATTTATTGGAGTTGTTTGGTATATTGATGCAATTTACTCTGTTTTCTCTGTTTGGTAGATTTGTTGAAGGAATGGCTCCTGTGTTTTCAAGAGCTGCTTGGTTTTGCACTTGGAATCTTATACAGGTAAAATTTGCACTTGCGGTTATTCATCTATTGAAGCTAACTGACCCCTTTAGTAAATTTTCACTTTTGCGGACATTTTTGTTTTGGCTTTTGTAGAATGATTTGGTTCATGGATGGGGAATGGATATGAAACTCGGGTATTGTGCACAGGTGATCTTTTGTGCTACTTAGTTACATTTAGTGAAATGAACAATCTAGTCCTTCTTTGTAGCTCTAGAATCTCAGTTTTAGTCCAAAAATATAGTGGAAAATGCTCAATGACGCCTAACTTCAGAAATAAGAAAAATATTTCGTGCAATTTCTATTTACGAGCCAGGTAAAAAATGTTGTAGGGAGACAGGACGAAGAAGGTAGGGATCGTGGATAGCGAGTATATATTTCATCAAGGCATTCAAACTTTAGGTGAAAGTGTACATTCTGAGAAGAAGGTATACATAACTCTTTTCAAACCAAGATCAAAGGGAACTCGTTTTGATTCTCGTTCAACGAACAATTTTTTTCTATATCTAACCCGTTGTTTGCTTCTCTTATACCCGCAGGCCACAGCTCGTGATGTTGGGACTAGCGTAAGTTTTATAAACTTGAAAACACTCCCTTTCCCTTTCTTTTGGCCTCTAGTTAAAAAAAAGTCTCACACCTTCATGATTCTTTTTCGGTCGATGTTTCAAGAGACGTGGCCACACAACATTTGATTCGAGAACCTCGGTGAGTTCTCCGATAAAATATATCATCTATTAAATTCTTCTTTGGTATGTCGTCGATAGAAAGGAAAAACTTAGTGTTTGTATGGTTTTTGATGGAAACAAGTAGATAAGGAGGCAGTCAACATGGGAGCTTCAGACTTTTAAAGAACGATGGAACAGAGCGGTAGAAGAAGACAAGAACTGGATCGATCCATCGTCATCAAGCTCGAAGACGAAGCAGAAGAGTAATGTTAATAACAGAAGATTAAGGCGTGGTAGTTCTCACCGTTTAAAGCATAAGAGAGCTCAAGAGACAGCAACAGCATAACTGCATAACCCACACATATAGCAAAAAGAAGGATTTTTTATTTTATTTTTTATATACACATTTAGAATTCTTTCTTTATGTAATTAGTTAGCATTATTAAATTTATTATATTATACTTTTCCTCAATTATTGTAGCTTTCTTTGAATAAGAAAAGGGTTTAAATTTTATAGGAGCTCATGTCTCTTACAAATTAATTTCCAAATAGACCATCAAGTATATAAATGAAGATGTGATGTAGACTCGAAGGACACTTTTTCAAACCTACGACTACTTCAATTTGAATTTCTCTCCGACTCTTTTCTTCTCCACTACTTTTTTTTAGTTTCTCTATTTGTGAAGCCTTCCACATTTGGAAACTTTGACAAACTATATATTTTTTATCATTGAAAATAAAGTTACTGATAATCAATGGAAACCCAATTAAAAGCAATTGACCTTTTTTTTAATGATGATAATACGCTCTACAGATATTTGAATTATCCTAAAAAATTGAGTGATTTGTTTCTGTATGTTGATGATGTTAATTTAAATATGTTTATAATCTTCTTAGGGTTGGATTAAATCAACGTGTTTATTTAGTTAAATCAACTAATTTATGTGAAATAAAGGGAAAAAACTAGTTATCTTATAAATATAAATAATTAATTTTTATGTATATATTTTGTTCTCATCCTATTATTTGGTATATCCATAATAAATAAACAAAAAGTAAAGATAAGATTGTCAAAAGAGAAATAATCAGAAATATTGACAAAAAAATAATAATCAGAAATATTAGTAAAATAATTCCAAGGTGTAATCAGAAATTAAAATAAAAGTATTCCGAGGTGACGCTGTAAATAAGAAGAGTCCGGTCATCTGTATGTATATGGATAGTATATAAAAATTGTTGTCTTTTTGTTTTCTCCCTTTCAAAGTTCCAATCCTCGGGCCATTGTGAAGATCTCAGATCGATTTCAAAGTCTTGATCTTGATTTTGTGATTCGAGATAAGCTTTGTGCTAATCATGGCTGGTCGCTACGATCGGAACCCCTTCGACCAAGAAGAAGAAGTCAATCCTTTCGCTGTAAGCGTCTTACTTTTTCTTTACTTTGATTTCACCAGTAAAACTCCGGCGTAATCTCACTTAAACCTAGATTCTTCGAACTGGGTTTTCGAAGTTTGTGTATTCGGATCTTATCAACCTTACTTGGCGTTGATTTGGGGTGGTGCTTTATTATGGCTTCATCTAGATAGGTTTGCTGTTCCTATTGATTTATCCGAATTTTCGAGCTTTAAGCTTTGGTTTTTGTTAAGGGAATCGATAATCGAATAACCATTGCGAGAATGTAATCAAGATTTGTTGAAATTTTGTAACTTCCAATTGCTGAAACTATGGATTAACGTAGTTGAACACTTAATTGATTCCATTCTGGCTTGTAGATACTAGATAGCGTTAGGGTCGTTCTCAGGTTCTTGGTTTCTTGCTTTTGAGCTCCTCTTTGATTCTGAAGAACGTATTGGTAATGGTGCCTAAAAAAAAAATTATTTTGTCTACTTTCTTAGAATCCCGGAAGTGTACCCGCTGCTTCGAATTCCAGACTATCGCCTTTGCCTCCAGAACCTGCTGGTTTTGGCTATGGTCGCACCGTTGATATTCCTCTTGACAGACCGGGGTCTGGTACACAGGTTCGATTCATGATGGAGTAGTTATCATACATTATTGGGATTAGGCAGATGTATTTGAATTAGTTGTACTGATTCTTTCTTTGTTTTATTCTTTCGTTGTTGGAATACAGGATTTAAAAAAGAAAGAGAAGGAGCTCCAAGCCAAAGAAGCTGAACTAAGACGGCGGGAGCAGGTAACGACTGCTGAAAATACTCAAAAAATTTTAAAAATCAAGCACCATCCTTTGAAACTCACATTTACAGTTACTGAAGAGAATTCATTTTGCTTAAGTGGAGCCTTTGAAAGTATATTGCGTATCTTCTATTTTCAAATAGATTTATTTTGTATCTTTGTAGGATCTAAAACGGAAAGAGGATGCTGCTGCACGAGGTATATGTCTTTTATGGTTTACGTGAAAGCTACCTCTTTTCAGCACATGTTGTGATACTGTTACCTAGAGTATTGTAATTAACTGTCATCGCTATTCTGTGTCTCCATCGGTTGATTCATTTTCTTATAAATAGTCATCTAATTTGCTCTTATATTACCTTTCTTTGTAGCCGGAATTGTTATCGAGGTGAAAAACTGGCCGCCCTTCTTCCCACTTATCCACCATGACATTGCAAATGAAATTCCTATTCGGCTCCAAAGGCTACAGTATATTGCATTTGCAACATATTTGGGTACGTATATTATATACAGTCTTACTTGGAAAGTGACGATTCTAGCCAGGCACTTTCGCGTTAACTTCACCTACATAGGTTAATTAAGAAAATTGTAAAATTTTACTTATGTGTGTCCATGTCCAACAGGGTTGGTTCTTGCACTTTTCTGGAATATCATCGCCGTTACTACAGCGTGGATCAAAGGAGAAGGTCTCTTCTTGCTCTCTTATTTTCCCTTTTTGCTGACCAAGTCTTCTGTAATGAGCCTTTTCTGCATATTTTTACAGCCTTCGGTTTTGTTTATTTGTTTCAGGAGTAACGATTTGGCTTCTCGCCCTTATTTACTTCATATCGGGTGTCCCAGGAGGCTATGTGTTATGGTATCGGCCTCTCTACCGTGCCTTCAGGTTCTTTGTCCTCAAACCTAGTCACTAACAAACGCAGGCGTATATTGTGTACTAGTGGTGAAAAGTGTTCAGAATATATATTTTTTTCAACATTCTCTTACTTTATGTTTCCTTTGTGTTGATTCTTGCAGAAGTGATAGCGCGTTGAGCTTTGGATGGTTTTTCTTGTTCTACATGGTGATTCCCTGTTTTTTTTTTTTGCTGATCTTAATGGCAGTTCTTATTGCATAGCTTTAAACAGACTTTCCTAAAAATTCATCTGACACCTTCCTCTCTGGCCACAGCTCCACATACTTTTCTGCGTCTTTGCTGCAGTTGCGCCTCCTATTGTCTTCAAAGGAAAATCACTTGCGTAAGTTTGCTCAAAAGTTTCAAGACATGTAGTGTAAACACAGTTGATAGTTGATTATATGCATATCCGGCCTGTTATTAATTATTTGATGATTTTCAAATTTACAGGGGTATATTACCTGCAATAGATGTGTTGAGCGGTCAGGCATTGGTCGGAGTAAGCTCTTTTTTATCCCTTATGAGCTCTTGGATTATGTCATTTTCCATTTCCTCCAAGTTTCTACAACCAATTGATTTTGTCTGATGAACCTTAAGTCTCCTGATCATATAATCATTGATTTCTTGTTTTGCCCATCAACAGATCTTCTACTTCATCGGGTTTGCGTTTTTCTGCCTTGAATCAGTGGTCAGCATATGGGTTATTCAGGTCTCTTTCCCAATCTTTAAATCGAAAACATATAGTCTCTCTGGATCGATCTAGTTTCCGAGGCTAAAACTCGTCTAACATTTGAATTCGCCATTTTATGTATGCAGCAAGTATACATGTACTTCCGAGGAAGCGGGAAAGCGAATGAGATGAGGCAGGAAGCTGCAAGAGGAGCCATGAGAGCTGCCATATGATCCTTTTCTGTGTAGAAGCCCATCAAGCCTTAGAATTTCGGAGCCATTTTGTATATGTTTTCAACATCCTCTTACTCTATGTTTCCTTATGTAGGAGCCATTTTGTTTCGTTGTGATTGTGTAGTGGTTACACACTTCTTCAGTTATTTAGCTTCGCTGATCGATTTTTCCCTTGAGCTATTTTTTTCTTGTCTTCCTCAGGTCATTTATATTTTTTGTATTTTACGCCACTTTCTCTCAGAAATATAAAATTTGGTTTCATAGACTACTATATCACTGTTCCTAACGTTTATATGATACCTACTCATGACTGTAGTTCACCAATACATTTTTCAGTTTTTCTCACGTGATTTTTGCTGTTGTCTGCAAATCATTAGGAAACATTTTTTATATATAACTTTCGGTTAATGCATCGACTGCCAAAAAAAAAGTGAGCTCTTTTTCTGGTTTTAGGCACGTGAATTTAGTGCAAAATGACTAATCTATTAGACTAATAATCATAGAGCACTTTAGGATTGAGAATCTTTTGTATCCCTTTATTGAAAATGACCAATTTACCCTCACGAACGGATCCAAGTCTTTTAGCCTAGTGGATTAGTGTGCACTTTAATGTAAAGCTACTTACTTTTTTCAAAACTAAATTATTAACTATAAGCTAGCAGACATTGATGCAATGCACCTGGATAGAGTCTATCAATTATACTTTCCAAACTGTAGTTATGATTCACACACTTTAGCCAAAAGCAAAAGGTGAATATAAAAATTGGTCAAACTTGTAATATTAGCCAAAAGCAAGGTTATTTTGGAGAGCACGTTGAGGTTTATATAAGACCTGTTAATTTCCTTGTGATTGTAACAAATCAAACATTCTTGCCTTTCACTTCAGTTTTCTCACTTTGTCTTCTCTCTACACTTTCCAGAAGACTTTTGACATTTTGATTGTCTCCAGTAAGCACAAAATGGAAGGGAGAAGATATGTCAGCATGATCAACGGTGGAGGTGGTAGAGAACGCAGAAGCCGTCCGATACCGAAGAGAGGACAAGTCAAAGTTGGAATCTTGATTGGCTTTGCTAATTCTTTTGCTTCAATCCTTGGCTTCACCAGAAACTTCCATGCACCCTAAATTTAATCTCCTGCTTCTCATTTCCTACAGAAGTTTTTTAGAATCATTCTGTGGTTTATTAGAGTAAGATTTATGTATTTGAGAGAGGTGATCTTGTTTAGTCTCTAGGTTGTTGAGTTTATTTCATTTATCTTTTCTTTTTGTTCAAATGCTAATGCTATGTAGTTTAGTAAAGAGATATGTTTTCTACATTTCCTTTAGATTTCTTTTGTTTTTCGTCAGTTTGTTCTTTAAAATTCAGACAAGTTCATCCATACTCAGGGAAAAACTACCAACTCGATTGATATAGTTTAACTACCAACTCGATTGAAAATTTGAAATACGAGTAAATCTTGAAATAGTTTAATATTTCAACTAAATAACCTGTTTTATCAGAACAATCCAATCAAACGATGAAATATAATTTTACAATTAGCTTATGGTTTAATCCTAAACACTTTTATATCTGTCAACTGGATATTAGCTACTACGAAAATAATGTCCGATTAATCTTATTCAATTTTGTGAAATAACCAAATAATCTCCTAAAAACCGGTCTGTTCCGGTTCGGTTTAAGTGGCAGCAACATCAGCATGAGTATCACTAAAAACCCGGTTTAGTATCATGGCTAGTCTAACTCCTCCTTGAACAATTCTCTTCATCACTATTGGCAGCCTCGTATTGAAATACTCCTCTGCAAAATTATTTACGGGAAATAATAATATCAGTCATATAAAAGTCAAATGGAATTGAAACTAGACTTAATTCTTTTTTCATCTGGTTCAGTTCGTTCTTTAAACTAATTGTTTGCCTACAAGAAAAAAGAAGAAGCAAACAATATGTACCTGATAGCGTTTCACCAGACTTCACGCCTTCGTAGCCCCATTTACAAGCTAACTTTATACTCTCCGAAGCATACCTGCAAAGAAAATAATTATATAATTTATTCGTTTATATATAGATTTTTTTTTCAAAAAAAAATATGGATTTCCTCTACCGAACCCCAAACAAATTTCAAAGTCTCTAGTTATGATGTAAATATTTTACTTATTAGTAACTGATGGTCGACTTTAATCCTATTCAACCCCGGAAAAAATTAGGATCTATTATCTTCAAAATCTTCTTGGTCCAGAAAAATTTCAAGATTTTGAAGGCTAGATTTAACGCGTATTGAACTAGCTAGTCTTCAATCCAAATTATTTTAAACTTACTTGTGTGAACAAGCGATCAGATCGTTGCATTCTGTCCACGTAGATAGATCGTCTTGCCATAATCCCTAAAATATATGATAAACCATTAGATATATAATTCAACGGTAAAAAACGATATATGATACATGAAAATTACTGTAACGAATACGTAATTTGTTTATTACATTGGTGATGTTCTTCTCAAGATCCTCTTGGAGAAGACCCAAGTCCTTGTCGTAGTATTCTTTTAGAGCCGTGAGGATAATCTCTCTGTCCCATACCTTCACATTTTTTTCATTAAGTAATCCTTTTATTTTCGTATTGAAATTCTTCAAACTTGTAGGAGTTACAAAAAAAAGCTTACATGATGTAAATTTGATTTGTGTCTGTACCAACGTAAATCTATCGTGTTTCCTCCTTCATCACTTGTGAATCCGACATGCATAGGCTTTTTAAAATGAATAACATATAATTATGTTACGAAATAATTATAATCAAATATCTGTCAGGGAAAAAAAAATAATATATATATATATATATATATAACTAGCTATTTATATGTGGAATGGTAAGGAATAAACCTGATGAATATCTCCCATGAAATGAGACAAGAACAAAAGGGCTTCAGTCATGTTATCTATGAAGTTGAACAAGATGAAAGTGTACTTAAATTAAAATGTTCTCCTTTATAGAAATTTAAGTAAAAACACATCAAAAACGAAATATGGAGTTAAAATGGGTATATAGTAAATAAATAAAGAAAAGATCACTTACGTCGACGATCAGATGTTCCTTCACCGTAATGCTGAAGCTGAGAGGTGAAATTCTGGATTGCTCCATCCACACACATATCCTTTAACCCATGTTGATCATGACAATCCCCTATATTTTTTCTTATATATTAAAATTTTCACATTTATTCCCGTAAAAGTAAAACAAAGCGTATAAAACTGAATTATAGTTTTGACTCACAAAAAAAAAAGATTAAATTATAGGTAACTACATCCTTTTTTTATGTAAATCGGTTCTGGTTTTCGTGGCACTTGAGTTTTGGTTAACTCCGGTTCATAAGAAATAGAACCGAATATATATGTAGTTAAATAAAAAATGTTTGGGAAATGAACTTATGACTTACTGGCGAATTCGTAAGAACAGGCTTGGTCGGGAGTGTCGATGTAATGGAGAGAGCTAGTCCAACGGTACTTGTACCAATGTCGGATCTGGTCAGGCCACACACACAATGCCGATAAATCTCCTTTCACGTAATCCGGTAATAGATTCTCTACGACATGTGCCGGTCCTGCCTCTAAAAGGTTCTGTTCACACCACATATATATATATATATATATATATATATATATATATATATAGTTAAATACACGCGCACACACACAAACACAAGAAGTTTTGTTAGAAATGTCAAATCTCTACCAAGTATCGTTAAAGTTGATATTGCTTAATATCTCAATAGCCTTACTTGTATGCATAATCATCTACATATGTGATATTAGACATGACTGATAAAAATAAGGAAAAATTTGTACGGTTTTACGTACGACCATTATTACAAAAATAAGAATGACATTAGAGCTCCGCTCCACTAGCTTATAGGAGGTTTGGTGGAGTTTAACTCCAGTGCTCAAGTAACCACTTACATTTATGGTTTTTAACCAATCAGAAATATTAGTTATATATGCTTCAGTAGCTGGTTTAACAATATGTTTTTTATAGCCGGCTGGGTAATAATATCTAACTACTTTTGAATAAATTATGGTGGCAAATATAATATCCATTTCATTATCAGCTCTATCATGTCCTATTATTCGGTCCAAATTGACAGTCAAAAGACAAAATCAAAATAGTGACTACAAAAAACCACCAGATCATCAACTTACTTGAGCAATTCGGCATGTAAGAATATGACCTTCTTTACTCCAACTTTGGACATGAGAAACCGAACACAAAAATAATACACCAAATACAAGATTCAACCTCGTGGATGATATAAACGCCGATTCCATATCTTCAAACTTCAAATCTTGTATACAGTGATCTCTTCTTGTATAATAGTGTCTTCTCTATTTTCCTCTTGTTTACAACAACTTCATAGAATTTGCAAACAGAACATAAGAGAAATTATTAATATAGAGACAAGAATGGACTTACAAGTTAGGTTAATTACAAGTAACATAGAAGATACTGAGTTTGTGTGCAAGCAAGACATTGCGAGTCTCGTACGTTCCTCTCGTAAAGTTGACAATAGGAACACGAAATATAACATTTAGATAAAGAGTCGTTAGTTTAGTAAAAAGCATATTCCCTGCGTGACATATATAAAAAAAATAGAAATCCCAATTTTGTGTTTCGGTTTAATCTTGAAAATCCAAACCGAAACCAAATCAATCTTTTTTTAAACCGGAACAGTAAAACTAGTTGGAACGAGAAATAAGAAAAGGAAAAAATAAAAAAATAATAAGTTAATAACCATCGGATTTCTTTTCCCCGGTCAAAGTCAGGTAAAAACGACGAAGGACTTCGCTGACTTTCAACCGGTCAATGATGAACAACTTTTGGTCCTTTTTTTTTTTTTGAAACCTCCATTGAAGAATCGTAGCAGAACAAATTCACAATACGGTGAAGTTCTTTACTTGAATCGTCTTTTTCGATAATCACCTACTTGCTTCAATCAGGTTTGTCCACTCTGCTTCTTCGTCTACTTTCATCTCTGCTTCTTCATTGTCACAAAAAGCTTCGATTGTGGTGACCCTGAAGAGCTTCAAATTAATAGATTTCTGCGAATTCCTAATCTTTTAGCCCAATTCAGTTGTTTCTTTGTTTGATTTGGAATCTCTTGGCTCTTTCATGAATGATTTGATTCTGGGTTTTCTAGAGTATAAGATCTGTAACCTAATATTGATTCCTCCTATTTCAACACGCTCTGATATCTATATGAACTGTATGTCAAACCAGTGAGCTTACTAGCGAGTTTTTCTTAAACTTGGGTGTTTTTTAGTGAACTTGGGTGTTTTTCTTAAATTGTGTCTCTATACATACATTGGATCATGAAGTGATTGAGAAGTAGCGAGTTTCTGATGAAGTATTTGTATCTCGAGTATGGTTTTGTTCTATAATTGTGCTACCGCTACCTCTGATTGGAAATTCAAAAACATTGTTCAGTGTATGTACTTTAAATTGTTTCATTTGATGCAGAATGATAGACCTATCTACTATGTCTCCTGCGGAGATCACCGTGATGGGATCCGTGTTTTGCGTTCTGCTCTCGATGCACTTCACTATGCAGCTCGTATCCCAGCACTTGTTTTACTGGAAGAACCCGAAAGAGCAGAAAGCCATTTTGATCATTATACTCATGGCTCCTGTTTACGCTATCAACTCTTTTGTGGGCTTGTTAGATGCTAAGGGAAGCAAACCCCTCTTCATGTTTCTAGACGCCGTTAAGGATTGCTATGAGGCACTTGTAGGTTTCTACATTCTCTCATATCTCAATTCCCCTGCATTGGCTTGTTTCTTGATTTGTTGTATTGCTCTCTTTGTTTCAGGTCATTGCTAAATTTTTGGCTTTGATGTATAGTTACGTGAACATATCAATGAGCGCACGGATTATCCCGGATGAGATCAAAGGGAGAGAGATCCACCATTCATTTCCAATGACTCTTTTCGTTCCTCGGACCACACATCTGGATCACCGCACACTTGAACAGCTCAAGCAGTGGACATGGCAGTTTTGTGTTATCCGCCCAGTGTGTTCCATCTTGATGATAACACTACAGCTCCTCGGGATTTATCCTCCGTGGTTGAAATGGGTTTTCACCGTCATTCTAAACGTTTCGGTATCTCTGGCTTTGTATTCTTTGGTGAAATTCTACCATGTTTTTGGCAAAGAGTTGGAGCCGCATAAACCGCTCACAAAGTTCATGTGCGTGAAAGGGATCATCTTCTTCTGCTTTTGGCAGGTACATACTTACTATCTAATGTTTCCTTTGCCTATGCAGTCAAGGTTCTTTGTCTACTTGTTTCTTTAAATCAACAAACTGTTTCTGATGAGAAATCAATTGAATTTCTTTTCGTTCTACTGATCAAGACAATGGAAAGATACATAGTCTCTGGACTATACTTTTTAGGGGCTCCTGTCTTATGTCACTGCCATTTAGGTCTTCTTGACAGGAAGACATGAGCCAGGAATGGTGTAGCAAACCAAAACCCTTTAGAACACGTTGATTGGTCGTTAAGGCAAACAAAGTCTCATCTCAATAGATATAGGATCACCACTGAATTTGGTCAAGTAATTGAACATTATGAAAGTTTTTTAAAGCATTCATGTCCTTTGCACATGCGTTCTTCTCTTTAATTTTTGGGAATTCTGTGTGTTGTTGTGCAGGGCGTAGTGCTGGAGATATTGGTGGGATTGGGATTAATAAAATCGCATCATTTCTGGTTGGAGGTGGAGCAGCTTGAGGATGCTCTGCAAAACGTGCTTGTGTGTCTTGAGATGATCGTCTTCTCTGTTATGCAACAATACGCTTTTCACGTTGCTCCTTACAGTGGAGAAACCGAAGCTAAGATGAGAATGAACAAGAGGGGTTGATTCGGAGAGAAAACATTTTTTTTTCCAAATTTAGACCAGAGAAGATTTTTAGCTTTGTTTTTTTGTTTGGTTCAAATGTTTTGTTTCTCAGAAGGAAAATACTAATAACAGTCAAATCTATCTTTTATGAACTCTTCCTAAACCTAAAGTTTCTTTTTTGTTTTCTAGAATCTCAAATTTCGATGATAACTTTGGAAACCGACATAAAATGTGGCATTTTTGAAAATTGTCGTACTTACTTTCTATCAGCAATTACGACCATATTTGAAAACTAAAAATTATATATAAGGGTATTGCCATAAAGAACCCAAGCAACACCAGCCATATGACAGAACTGGCAGAAAAAATGTAACAGGTCAGGTGCTATAGCACCAGTTCGATCATCTATGGAAACAGAAGTAGAAACTTTTTTACGCTTGGCAGTCATCAATGTTCGAAGAATGGGATATACTTTGTGGAGATTTGCAAGCTGTTTATGGTCCTCAGCAAAATATGAAAGTAATAGAATAATAGAGACATTCAAAAAGGCCTACTGAATGAAAACATGTGATCGTATCTCCTTCATGGCCTCAAGAGCTGCTCTTTCCATCACCTTAACAGGACCGATAACCTGTAGCAATAAAAGGAATATCAATTTAATCAAACCAATTAACTAATAACTTACTCACTTCAAAAAAGAAAAACGTTTAACTAACCCTAATATGAAACTTCTGAACCTTCCTTGTATCTTTATGCAAGGCTGTAATGCGTCCTTCCTCAGTTGTGCAGTGATAAACTTCATAATATGGACGGTTGTTCTCGAAAGAGATGAAGCTTGTGTTCAAAGCTTTCGTGATGCTTCAATTGTGGGATTCAACCTCCGATTATGGTATCTATATCTATTCTCAAAACAAAAAAAATATATTAATAAGAAAATTTGAGTGCACAAATATTACCCAATAAAAATTGTTATGACATTAAATTGATCATCATCTTTGAAAATGCTTATTTGTATTAAGAACCCATCATTACCACATCATGATCATCATGTACATATTTTCTCAAAGGTTTTTGGTCGATGGAAGGATCATTCCTTGGACACTTGATGAAACAACATTATATCAAATCGAAACTAGAAACATCAAGATGGTCCTCTCTAAGGATGAAGACAAGTTCAAATCTTTATTTTCTTTTTTTTCTTTGTTTGAGTCTTGCATATATTGTTGAATTGACATTTTATTTTGTATTGTTCGATTCTTTCTGTGTGGAATTGACTTGGACAATATAGCTTATCCCAGTCGTATTTTCATTGAATGTGATGCGAAATTAATGACAATACAAAAAAAATATGGTTCTTCCCTAGAGGTTGATATCATTACTATAAACAGTTTAAAACCACTATATTCTATTTTCTAGTTACATCATATATGCTTGAAATATATTATTAACTTTTTTAAAAAAATTGCTTTGCTCATAAGTTTAGAGAAATTGTAGCAAAATTTTTATTTTTGGTTAAATGTGTGTAAACTCTAGTTTTTCTTTCATTTTTTGTGCAACCACAATCTATTTCTAATGTCGTAAATTTTAATTTTTTTCTAAATTTTAATATTAACTATATCTAACATATTGTGTGTGTGACTACCTATCTACACGAAAACATCTACAAATACAACACACATGTACTCGATTCAAACTCCAAATGGAGATACTTTTACTTAGAATATTAGTAGTACATACCGTACAATACACGAACTGTTATTTCGAGATGAACATTAGCTCCTATAGATCAATATAATATTCAAACCACCTAAATTAGCCACGTTTTAAATAGATTTATCTTTAGCCAGATGAACCACCCTTACCCAATAGCCACTAGGGAATTATGTTTCATGACTTTCTTTCTACATTTGTCACTTTCCTTTTGTCCGGTTGTTTTTGGCGTATAGAAGAAATGCAACCAAAATTAGAAATATAAAACAAACAAATATAAATATACAAACTCCATAGCTAAAAGCCTAAAACGAAAGACCACGACGAGCCACTTCTTTGTCCTGTCTCATCGACTCGAACCTCTCGTCGTTGCATTTTTTGATAAACGCTTCTGATCTTCTATTCAGCTCATCTCGACTCCGTGAAACCGCCGGTGACAGGTAATAATTGGTTCTGTCACCAAACGTCTCCGATTTTTTCAAACCGCCGAATTGTTTTGTCTTGTTCGAATCGCTAACGCCAATTCCAAACGTGTCCAGTCTCCTATAATAACTAGTCAACGGCTTCCCTTCCCTTATCATCTTCCACGTGTTCTCCAGCGTCTCGTTCTTCTTCGGCTTCGCCACTCTCAACGCTCTCAACGAGTTTCGCTCTATAAATTACGAATTTACCCCTTTAATAAACAAGTGTTTTAATTTGGGTTTTCAACCACTTAAAAATATCTAAACCTGTATGACGTCAACTTTTTGATATTTTAAATTAAATTAGTTTACCTGCTGTTGTGGTCTTAACCGGTTTCCGTTGGCCGATCCTAGCCGAAACCAGCGGCTTCTCAACCGGAATCATACTTTCCGGTTTGGCCACCTCCACTAAACACCTCTTTTCCTCCTCGACCTCCGCCTCCGATTCTGCTAGCTTCTCCCTGACCGCCTCCGGTCTCTCCTTCTCCTCGACGACTATATTGGCCGGTGGAGTTGCGGCGAAGAAACTGAAATCTTCATCCTTCGTCTCCGGCCGCCGTGGAGGAGCTCGGTGAAAGATCTGCTGCTCAGTCTGATGATTCTTGTAGTCGCCACCGTATGAAACCTCGTAGTCTTTTCCGTCGTTGCTGGTGATGCACCGGTAATACCTGGAGGAAACTCCGATTACGACGATGATGACGTTGGTGATGACGTAGAGATACGGCGGTTTCAGCCACGAGGTAAAGGAACTCAAAAGGATCGGAGCTTGCGAGAAATCTACTGCCACAGGAACAATGACCTTTAGATGCATACCCATGGCCACGAAGCCAGTTGAGATTAGCACCGGTTTTATCCAAGACGCCATTTTTTCCGATTTAGTCACTCTCTGTGTGTGTCTCTCTCTCTGTCTGTTAGGATTTATCTAGTGATGTATTTGTTGTCACGCTCTTTAGCTCAGATATTCTTTCGCTTTATATAGGAAGGGGAGTAGGGGACTAATGGGATATCTGATATACGCCGTTGGATCTAAGATTTAGGTAGATGAACGGTCAGGATTGTTAATAAGTATTAGGTGCATCCCCTTGCACAACAAAACAAGAGTAGAGAATAAATGGTGCTGTCTTATTGATACAATGATACGTAGAACACAACTTCACGTGTCCACAGTCTTATCTCTAAATCTCATCATTAAAAATATCAATTATATTTCCCTTCTTTTTTACGTCAAATAGTAATTCTCCTGTCAGTCAACCTAGTATGAGTATATGACCATCCTTCATAATTCCTTGTTTTTGTTTCCAATGGTTTCCCTTGCCCACGCTATGGCCACGTCTTTTTAACCTTATCTCGCAAACAAAAAATGGAATATGTATTGGTCGACAAAAAAGAGTATGTATAAAGCGATTATGAAATAATTTAATAATTTAATGATTCTTTTGGTTTATTATAAGTGATGGTTTATTGGATCTATATATAGTAAAAAATGTAAATATATAATATAAATATAATATTCTCCTTTTAATAAGTATAAACACTAGTTTTTTGATCATTTAATATAAGGACAGACAAAGAAAGCAATATTTTTTTGCATTGAAAAAGTAAAATATCATTTAAGAAATATTTGCTAAACATCAGTTGATCTAATATTATAAGAAGAGAGATATAGTCTTTAGTCAATATAAGATTTTACAAAAAATCCCATTCGTTTCTTTTTAGAATTAAATCGTTCAAATATGTTACTCCCCGTTTCAAAATAAACAGTTTTAGAATATATTTTATTTTAAATTAAATAATGTTTTCATTCGTTAAACCTGATATTTTAACCTTTTCGCCAGTTTTATATCTATCCATGTTTTTTTCATTAAAATTTCCAAGAAAAAAAAATTTGTCACTAGAAGTCTGGATTGAAATGAAGGATTGAGATGTCACCTGATTAATTTCAAAACGAAATCTTACATATTTTTTGTTATGATTATCCCGAAAGGCAGAAACCTACTGAAGGTATTGTCTTCATCTTCGTCTTTACCATAGATGGAGGTGTTCTGTGAGTCTCAAAGACTTTTAGACACATGCTCATGTGTCATTTTCATCAAAAGCAACAAAAAGCAGTCTCGAGGTAAGAGAATGCGAGTACTGCTAGCCAAAACGGATCGTTGACACTCATGTGCTCACTGATGAAAAGTTAGCTACAAACGTCTTTAGAAGCCAAACCCTTTGATCCTAGTAAGTTTTTTACTTTCTAAATCGTTAATATCACTAGTTTCCGTTTGCTGTTGTCCATCGTTATCTACATGCATCTAAGTGTATACGAATATTGAATTGATTTGCCGCATAGATTGTAAATTTTTTTAAAAAAAAAACAGTTTGATGATGAATGATGTGATATATATATATATAGTAAAATAGATTGGACATGTATATATATATATATTTACTTAAAACTAAGAGATATCAGATATGTATAGTACGAATAAAAGAGAGAATTACTTTGTAAAAAGGGGGAAAATAATATTTCCTTGAGAGTTAAGCAGTAAGAACGGGCCAAGGTAGAGGTCAATTCTACAACTGTCGTATACTTGACCCCGACTGGTCCCAAGTGGCTATCCACTCTCTTCTATTTAGTTTCTTTTTTCTTTGTCGACCACTATTGTGTTTCTTAGATCAACGATGAAAATAAAAATCTTGCTCCCTCAAACCACATATATATTATTCCCTAGTTTTTTATATATCCAGAGAAACTTCAAGTTTTTGTTTAATATTTATTGATAAGTTTTGTTTGTTTTACAATTTATAAACGTTGTCTGAACATTTTGAATTATAATAATAGCACAAAATTAATATTAGTTATAACTACAAAATTAAATTTTGGCCAAACATGTTGCAGTAGATGAAAGCTCTTGGTGTATGTGTGTGTATGTGTGTGTGTGTTTGTGTGTGTTTAGTTTATTTTCTATATGTGTTTTAGAGATATGTTAAATTAACTCCTTGGCAAGAGAAATCCAATTTGTTTAAATTTTTTGGAGAGATTATGGTTGTTTCTTCTCAGATTCTATTTGGAGAGATTAATTAAATTAGGAAATATCTGAAACACATTTGGACCTTTGGTTAACCACTATCGCCATTGCCACTTTGGAAAACTATTTATCAAAAATATCATTAGCCTAGATATGGATTTATATTAATATTTTTGGTTTTATTCATTTGTAATAAGATTTTAGATTTAATACTAAAAAAACAATTGTACAGACAATGATATTTTGGGTTATTATAACATACAAAGGTCATTTTTTTGACAAGATACAAAGAGTTCGTTAGAATCAATAATTTAGCTTTTGTGATTTTAGTGACGAATGACGATAAGAATTTTCAGAAGCTAATTTTGACTTTGTCACAATAACATGTGCTCATAATTCGATTTGATTTACATCTAATTCAATAAACAATGAGAAGATCCATTATTTGTTACCGACATAAAAATAAAAAAGGGCAAATGGCTCCTTCGTCGAAAATACAGAAGGGGCAGACAACGACAGCGTTTCCATCTGCCTGTGATGTAATTGTGGTATTGAGAGTCAGTCGCGAGTTTACATGACGTTCTTTCCTCTGGCCGTTAGATTTCACGGCGTTGAGTCAAAGCTCCTTTTAGTCTTATGGTGGATAAAAAAATTTAAAGGTTTTTTTTTTGGGTCCATACTCCATAGTTAAACGACTAAACTTTGGGAGCTCGTGCAACATTTACCTTTTGGCTTGGTCTCTAAGATTTTCTATACACGAATTGTTCATATGTATTGTGGTTTTATTTATAACAAAATTGTATAGTGAGAGACTGAGAGTGGCGGCGTTAACGGTAAAGCCATTCTTTAAAGTTCTAAGTAACTAACAGGACTTCATTAAGCCTTAATTCTTTGCCTATAGTGTAACTTTTTTTTTCCAAATAATTCACGATATTAGTCAGTTAAGCTAAATTTTGCTGTTAATTGTAAACGCAAATGTTAGAAATTGAAACGGAAGGAGATAAACCGTTTGCGTTTACACTTATCAAAATATTTTGTGAAAGAAGTAAAAGATGTTTAAACACTTAGCAAATTCCCTTTTCCCCGATGTTTTCTCTCTCTCGTATATATCAATCTAAACACAAACGCATAGTTGTTTTTGAAACAATCTACGCTTGAAACATAACAATTTTGAATCATTAATGTGGACGCCAATGAAAATAGATTTATAGTAACATTCTCTGATTGTTACCCGCCAAAATTATGAATCATCAATAGCTCCAAATGATCTCATTAGAATAATTGATCACTCTTAGTACTTGTTTCGAGTTTTTTGGTTGTTGCCTTGTGTTTTCTGTTTAGCTTCAATGATGTGGTTTTTACTCATAAGCACAAGATGTTTGGATCTCCTAAAAACCCTCAGAAACGCATATCATCAAGTAAATAAAACATTTTTATATACACAAAATTGGAATACCATTATAATAATACCCATCATTTGTGATTTTTTGTATTATTATCTTAATCTCTTCTTTTGATTCATTTTGCTGTGAATACAAAAAGAAGAAAATACAAGAGTAAAAATAGTAAAAACGATCAATAATTCCATGTCTAAGAGCGACCTATTTGTCCAATCTCATCGACTCTAGCCTCTCTTCCTTACACTTCTTTATAAATGCTTCTACTCTTCGATTCAGCTCCTCTCGACTCGGCGACATCTCCTTCTTTATCTTCACCGGCGGCGTCGGAGGCTTTTGATAATTAGTCATGTCCCTGAACGTCACCGATTTCCTCAAGGCAGGTTGTACTTCCCCGGCGTCAGATCTCCGGTAATGACTGGTCAACGTCGTTGACTTTCCCTCCTCCGTTATCATCTTCCACGTGTTCTCCAGCGTCGTCGTCTCGCGCCGCTTTGGTTTCGCCACTCTCAACGCCTTTCTCTTTTTACCGCCTGAAAAAATTACAACTCGACCAGTTTTACCCCCTATACGGTTTTACCTCAGTGTTTGAAGTTTCAAAGAAATATCCAACTAGCCGTTATTTTCAATGACGTCACCTTATTCCCTCCATTATTATTATACTAATAATTTTAAAATTAACAAATTAGAAAGTGACGCCTTTCTCCACTCCACTACCTTTTGGACTCCCTTTGACCGGTTTCCGGTGGCCGTCGGATCTTGCCGAAACCGGAGGCTTCTCACCCGAACCAATATTCTCCGGTTTATTAGACATCGACGGAACTTGATTCAACTTCGGTGTCACATCTCCACCGTTCATCTGTCCTGAAATCTCCTCCGCCTTCTTCTCTTCATACACATCCTCCGATTTCTCCACCTCCGTAACGAAGATCGGCGAAGGAAATGTGACCGTAAAATCGGAATCGACATCTTTAACCTCAAGCCATCGTGGAGGAGCTCGGTTGACGATTGGCTCAGACTGATTAATATTATAGTCGCCACCGTGAAAAATCTCGTCTTCTTCGCCGTCGTGGTAGCTGGAAGAAGCTACAATAATGGTGATTATGACATTGATGACGACGAATAGGTACGGCGGTTTCAGGCACGAGAGAAATGAGCTCCAAAGGATCGGAGATCGAGATAAGGAGAAATCCAATGCGATAGGAACTGAAGCCTTTAGAAACAGAGCCACGAAAGTGATTCCGGTGGAGATTAGCACCGCCTTTATAGTCGAGGATACCATTTTTTCCGATTTGAGCTTCTCTGAGATATATCGACTGTTGAGTTATATAGGTCAATAGGTGGAGCTGATGGGGAAGCTAGGTTATGGTTTGATATTCACCGTTGATTCTAAGGATAGGAAGATGGACGGTGACGATTGATTAGTGCCACAATAGCAAAATATAAGACGTGGCCTGTGTTACTAGCACGTGAGTTTTTGCAGCTAGTCCCAAAAAAGAAAGCCACGCGTCCATTTTTGTTCAATCTCCAAAAAGAAAAAGTAATAGGGAAAAAAAAAAACCATTATTGTAAAAGTAATGCCCATTAATTCGTTTGTTGTCAATTGTTTCACACGTTGTGTAACCACGTAATTTTTTGACCTTATCTTACTCAAACCAATATTTCACTTTCAATCGCAAAGAAAAATCGAACGGTTGTTCCAAAATTCGAAAGATATGTAAACGTACGCATCTGCTGCACTGAAGAAACAAATTATAAAGTTTTGTTTGTTTATTCCGACATCAAATACTTTTGGGGAAATATATGGAGAAATAGAAGATATATAAAAATTAAAACAAACCACATTCGAGAGACATTGTCTTCAAACATTGTCTTGAAGACGTGAATTAACTAATTTACCTTAAACAAAATGTTTTTTTTTTTGTTTTCTTTCGTTTCTCCACTGTAAAATCTTCTCTCTTCTAGTCTCCAACCATCATAAGCTCCAAAATGCATCGTATCGCTTTGGAGAACAGAACACAGATCTCTATAGCTACCGCGAAGTCCTGATTCCTCTTGCTTGTTTCTTCTTATCTCTTTTCTTCATAGTTTTGGTGCTTGACCTGTGCTTCCGGTTCTGCTTCGAGGGTTTGCTTTTCCTCACAGGCAGGGGCTGTTTTGTGGAAGCTTTGGCCGTGGAACCCAATTCTGTTGATTGGGTCTTCTCCTTGCGAACAGGCTCATCCTCTTCACGAGATATCTCGCTTGTTGTCACCGTTACTTTCAGCTCCCTTGTATCATACATCGTCGTTCCTTTCATCCACAGAGAAACACAGCAAAATATCAGAACATGGCCAGTCAAAGCAAAACTCATGCTAACGTAAAAGCATTCAATAGAGAAAGAAAAAAGACACTCAATGATGCTTATACTGCAACTTCTCGATTTCAATCAATCGGTTTTCACGTTACGGTGACAAACTACCAATTATTGTATGGTGTAGACTGTAGAACTCTATCTCACAGAGAAAATGTGAACTTTCTTCACATTGAAAATTAGTGTGATTAATTTATATTACCAGAAGTTGAAGCATCAGGCTCTTCTTCTTCTTCTTCTTCTTCAATCTCTGCATCCTCTTCAGCTTGCCCATCTTCATTATCCTCACCATGACCCGCGACCATAAGCTCTTCCAATTTCCTCTGCAAAGCTCAGATACAAGATTCAGGACAGTAAGAAATTAGAACAGCTCGAGGCCACAAAACCTTCATAATACAACTGACCGAACATTAACAATCTCTCATATCATGCACTAATCACTATCAATCACTCATGCATTATAGAAGATGATGTTGTTCTGAAACTATAAAAGAACAACAAGAGGAGCTTTACGTTCTGAAAGAAGTAAATTGGGATTTATTATTGCAGTCAAAACAAAAGAAACACTCAAACTTCCATAGAAATGAACCCGAAAGATAGTGATTTTACCACAAATCAGAAAGACGAAACAAACGAGATTTCAATTGAAAAGCAAGAGTTTCATACACACCTTCTTACGAGCCTCAATGCGCTTCCGCCTCATAGATTCCTCCTGCTGCTTCTGGGCTTCCTTTCTTCTTTTCTTCTTCCTCTTGTGAAAACCAGTCACAAAATCCCTAGCAACAAAAACAACACGTAGCAGAAAATGGGTATCAACTAATTATGCCAACAAACAGCGATTGACTATACACAGGTTGTACATGTGATTCTGACTCCGATTAATCAAATTGAAATTGAGGCAGCAGCAAAATTGTGAATTTCCACGATACCTGAGATCTTTCTCGTCAAAAGAGACGGTGACGCTTTTATTCCTAAGAGCTCTCTTTCCAATGTGCCTAGCTCTAGTCGGCGGAGCCAGTGAACCCGCCTCCTCATCTTCCAAGCCTACCGGCATCGCCAAATACTTCCTCCGATCGGAAACGAAGCGATTCAGGTTAAAAAAAATTAGGGTTTGAGGTTTAAAGTACCAAACCAATTCTCAGCAGAGACGAAGAAGCAGTAAGCCACACAAAAAAAAAACGGACTTTTAATTGGGCTCTAAGCTCGGCCCATTACAGGGATAGTAGCGTCTTTTTAACAAAGTGAGCTAATTTGGTTAAGACCAAGTTATGCCATTAACTAATTTTAGACAATTACCAAAACTGCTTGTGACTCTCATTCTAACATAACAAAATAAACCTTCCAACAAAACTAAACTTCATCTTTTTCACTTAAAATAAAATAAACAAAATAATAAATAAATAAAACTTCCTCGCATCTTCCTCGTACTCAGACAGAGGATGACGATGGTGATGTTCATCATCAAAAGCAATGGCTTTTGAACAAAAGCACTGGAAAGAAAAAAACACACAAAAAAATATTTGTAAATAATTAAAGAAACACAGAGGGAAAAAAACAGAGTAAGAAATGAACGACTTATTCTCAAATTCATTTAAGAGGAATCAGGCTCAGCTGGGAGATGTCGAGGCAGGTCAAGAAACGATGAATCTCGACAAATTCTTCGAGGATGTCGAGAATGTGAAGGATGACATGAAAGGAGTGGAGAGTCTTTACAAGAAGCTTCAAGACTCGAACGAAGAATGCAAGACGGTGCACAATGCCAAGAAGGTGAAGGAGCTACGAGCTAAGATGGATGGAGACGTAGCACAAGTCCTTAAGAGAGTCAAAATCATCAAGCAGAAGCTCGAAGCCTTAGAGAAAGCGAACGCTAATAGCCGTAATGTCCCCGGTTGTGGACCCGGTTCGTCTACGGATAGGACTCGGTCGTCTGTGGTTAGCGGTCTCGGGAAGAAACTCAAGGACTTGATGGATAGTTTCCAAGGTCTACGTGCTCGTATGAACGCTGAGTATAAGGAAACCGTAGAGCGCAGGTCTTTGTTTTTTTTAGGTTTCTTGCATTGCAAGGCTATTGCTCTGTTTTTCTTCTTGGATTGTAAGTTATATGACTCTGTTGGAATCGGTTCAGGTATTTCACAATAACGGGAGAACAAGCGGACGAGCAAACGATTGATAACTTGATTGCGAGCGGTGAGAGCGAAAATTTTCTCCAAAAAGCGATTCAAGAGCAAGGAAGAGGTCAGATCCTAGACACGATATCTGAGATCCAAGAAAGACACGACGCAGTGAAAGAGATTGAGAAGAACCTACTTGAGCTGCACCAAGTTTTCTTGGATATGGCAGCCCTAGTGGAAGCGCAAGGGCAACAATTGAACAACATAGAGAGCCATGTGGCGAAGGCGAGCTCGTTTGTGAGAAGAGGGACGGATCAGCTTCAAGACGCAAGAGAGTACCAAAAGAGCTCGAGGAAGTGGACTTGTTACGCCATCATTCTCTTCATCGTCGTCTTCTGCCTCCTCCTTATTCCCGCTCTACCCCATATTATGCTCATGTTCAAGTGAAATTGCTAATTAAAGAGCATGATATTGATTCTCAAATTCATCTCTTCGTTGATTTTTCTTCTTCTTCTTCTTTTTTGCTTTATGGATGGGATAGTTAGTTTACGATGAAACTTTGGAAAGGAATGTGTAGAAAAAGTTTTAAAATATCGATTCGTTGATACTAATGTTAATATTTTATGACATCCTGAATTTGGATCTATTATCCTCATCTTTAGTGCTTAATATCAGCCTTCCTTTATTACCATTATTTTACATGCATCTCCACTATGTCTTACAAGATATTTCTCCGTGTCAACTTTGACCCAAAAAATAATTATAAACAATTTGAAATAAATAAAAATAGTATGACAAAAATTTATGGTATATACACTTATGAGAACTGATAAAGCTGTCTGTCTGAGAGTAGGGATTTTTTTTCACTAACTTGGGTTTATGATATGTATAGAGATTTCTATTAACTATGTTGATGTGTGCAAGTGTTTTAAAAATTTTAACCGGCTTATTAACAACTTTCTACACCATATAGAATGGAATCTCAGACTTCACATGCATCTTAGTCGTGGACATATCTGCATTTTTATATTATACCTCTTCATCTTCTTACTCTATAGTTTTTTCAATGGAAAACTAGTTAGCTACATGCCTACATCGGGTTCTTTAAAAAAGAAGTAAAGGCAAAGATATTCTCAATCATTATACTTTTTCTTATAAATCATTATTCTTTTTTTGTCCTTGCAGTGGATGGTATATCTCGGCACCGCGTAATGCTTTGTTGGCGGGAGTTTTGGTCTTCATACAAATATTCTTTCGTCTATGCTTTCGAATCATAGCTTTGTGATCAATGTACTTGTTTTTTAATTCAAAACGGAAAAGTGATTATCCATAAATCATAAATGGTAAACTTTAGTGATTCTTTTTTGGATTGTAAAGTCTATCAGATTACATAATTTCCGATAAAATGAGACAAGCCACATTTCATTTTAGATGAGAATAACTCAGATACAAAACTTACAAATGCGAAATATATGATATTCATTAGTTCAATATTTGTTACCTAGCTTCTCTTTAAACTCTACCAAAAATCATGAAAACAAACTATTAACTTGGATCTTTCGACATAATCTATCCAATGAATATCGGTTACAACTACACTCCGATGTGTTAGCTACGCTTCCACAAACTTAAGAGTTAGGAAAAATACAATCTAATACACGTGGTTCGGGGAAAGAGCAAAAAAAAAACAGTGTCAGAGTCAGAGTTGTTTTGCTCTTTACTACGTTCATGGAATCCGAGGAACCAACAAAATCTGCCGTAGGATTAAACCGAATAAACCAAGGCAGCTGTCGTCACGTCAGCACATGCACCTCCCACGTTGGTTCCCCCTGCGAATCAATGCTCGCCACGTCAACCTTCAACGGCTAGTTCTCTGTGCCGTGTTCTCCTTTTTAACCGCCAAAGCATTACTACCACCAAAAAAGGAGGAGGTGCAAATTTTTTTTTTTCAAATTAGTTTACTCTTCTCTGTTTATTTTTTCAAGGAAATTAGTAAGAAATTAGGAAATATCTCAACTACATAAGTAAAAATCACTAATTTTTCTTTAGCGCAACAACTTCCAGATATCTATCTGAGGGAAATTGATAACTACAAAATTATCAGAATTAAAGTTCGGATTTTTCACTAGAAATCTCTCTCACTGTTAGTTTTTATTAAAAGGTAACTAGTTTCTTGTTCCTATATTCTCTTCATATGTTTCTTCTTCCTACCATCCACTGTTTTCTCTCTGCTCCCACTGTTTCTGGGTCCATTGAATCTCGGTTTCTATATTCTAAATATCAATTTTTTTCGTTACACATTTTCTGATGCAGGAATCGTGTGTTTTTCGTAATTTCGGCGAAATGGCATTGGGGAAGAAGAAATTAGGTGCCGTGAAATTATCATCAAACTCGAATCAAAACGTAGTGGGCGATGGAAGATTAGGGTTAGGGTTAGAGTTTGTTAAGTACAAGAGAGGATTTGGGAGGAAGAGGGTTTTGATTTCCAGTGGCAAGATCCGAGATTCCGGGAAACTTTGCGAAAAAACAGAAGGCAAGACTCGAGAGCTTGAAGCTCTCCCTCATGATATTCTGGTTCGTCTTTTTAAAAATTAATATTCGTTTTGATCGGTTTTTTTTAATCTTGGTTCTATGGATTACTTGATTTTTAGTGTTCTTGTGCCAATGGTTAAGCAAATAGAGCTGAAAGGTGAATTTTTTTTCTATTACATAAGAACAAAGTTAATATTGGAAATGGAAAGTTCTCAGTTTTTCCTTGGTAAATGTTCCTATTTGTGAAAAAAAAAAATCATCTAATCTTGTATAAATCTCTAGAGATGTTGTTTCAAATTTAATGGGGGGGAAATTGAAACTACTGAATAGATTCATTGGTTTATTTGCAGGTAAGGATTATATGTGGAGTGGAGCATGAAGACTTGAAGCAATTGTTTAATGTGTCTAAGACTATAAGAGAAGCTGTAAGTAAATGGCACATTAGTAGGGATTGATTGAAACCTTCATGACAGAAGAAACTGATTCTGATCATTTGTTTCCTGTCACAGACATTGATCGCAAAGAATTGGCATTTTGAATATAGCACACCAAGGAAAACTCTGTTTTTTCGAGGTGGGTGTGATTCTATGATCGATTTGGGAGATGAAATCCAAGCTCCAATACTGAAAAAGTACCGCTTTTCGAGGATTATCTGCGACAAGAAATTTTCTAAGATCTCAATGGCTCTTTTCAAATGAATCTGACAACTTGGGTTTAAGGATCAGGTTTTGCCTCCTCTTTTTTTTTGTTGGAGACCTGGTCAAAAGACTCGAAACTAGACGCGATCACACGATCCGGTTTCTTCAAGAGCTTTTGGTTGAAGAACCGGTTTAAATTATTGTCTTGTTTTTTTTTTTTTTTTTTTTTTGTCTTGTTTCATTTTCTTCTTGGGGTTTTGGTTTAATAGGTCTATGTAAATTGTTGTTAGATAGAAAGAGGTATGATACGTCCTTTGAAATGCTAAGCTTGGCTCTTATATATATATGTGGTTTTTCAAAGAGAATCGACAAGAAATAGAGATTTATTTCACTCAACTCTTTCTATCTCTTGTCATTGATTTGGAAGTGGTTTAATATATGTGATTATGGTTATATAACAATCTTAACAATGTCCTCACATTTAAAAAAAATAGTCGAAAAGAATGTATTACATTTAGACTTGTTTCTTGATAAGATCCGAAATTGATAATTTTTTATAATTGTTTTCGAACTGGATAGAAGAGAGAAAACTTAACCTAATAAAGTAATTTCTAATTGTGTATCCATTAATTGTAAGAGATCAGCATAATTACGTCACAAAATTATCGTGAATCATATGATGAGATCGGTGCTTATCTTTTTTCGTTAAAACTAAGGAATTGCTGTTTAAAAAAATGCAATATATAATGACTATTTCCCTTCTCAACTACTCAACGTCTATTTCAATCACTTATTTTACTTTATTTATTTATATATCCGAGTATCCGTTATATCCTTTGACACCTAACTTTGTTTTCAAATTACATTATAGAAAGTCTACAGGTTACACATTTACGCAATTGTATATGTCATGTAATACTGAAGATATAAGGAGGAGTGTATAAGGCATTTCGTTTCAATGGGTCTTCAATGTAGTGCGTGACAGAAAAAACCAACCTTTCTATAAAAAAAACATGTAGGAAAAAAATAACTATTGTGGTGTAAGATGACAAAGTTAGTCGTGGCTTATCAATTTGCATTATGTTAATATTTGCTTTGGCTCTCTTTTTTTTGTTGTTACGTTTGGTCGCATACGGTGCATTGTTTCTTCACGTTTTACAGTACGTTGAATGAATTATTAGACAACAGACTATTAACTAGAGTTAAAGTATGCTATATGGTTTCTAAAAAAAGTGTGCATACTGTAAAACGCACACTTAATTTAATACCGAAGTAGATATATGGAAAAAGCTTGTACATATCTTTATTCATATAAATGTACTTGGTAATGTATGACCTTGAAAGCAATCTTTAGGATAAGTAAATATAATATCAGCTTAGCGGTTAAGATATTGTGGGAATTTTCTTTTCTCTAGCCTACACGTACAATATATTAATATCAGAATATACGTAAAAGTATAAACAGTTTAAGACTGTAAAGAACTAAAGACTTAAGCGTAGAGCTCCTATATGGCTATATATGCATAAAGTTGTATGAATTCCGTATAACACTTAAGATGCTATAACATATAATATAAAAACATATGGTCGAGACTCGAGACTATATAGTATATTATATTACCTGTATTGTAATCTTGAATTCTAGATAACATTCGGATTCAATGTGATTTGCCTATGATATGCAAATATAATTATCAAAAATATTTTAGACCATGTCTAAGCATGGGTTTTTTTCTCAAAACAATAATATAAAATAAAATCATAAAACAATAATATAAAATGAAATCATATACAAAATGAAGAAAAGAGTTTCTAAATAATATGTTCTGAGATTTTAAATATTCTCTCTCCTATTTTAAAAGCCTTTATAATATTTAATTATTATTTTCTATATAATATAAAGAGTTTCTTCTAAAATTCTCTCATTGATTTTAGTCATTAGCCAAACAAAGTAAAAAGTACTTATAACAAGTCTATTGTAAATTCGACGACAAAAAAAAAAGCCTATTGTATATTCTGGCGCAGAAGTACTGGAAATGACCGATATGCCCATACCTTCATGTTCATCGTTTTGTCACTGATCCAAGTTCCAACCCCACCAAGTGTAAGAACAGAAGTTGTTTGCTGAATTGTATTCTTATTGCCTTAAACGTTTTCAATACATCAGCTGGTCCTTATATCGGACTTTTAAAACTCAACAAACTACCGAAAACCAATCAACTAACTAATGCACTAACTTAATGCTAAGACTACTGCAGAGTTGTTCCTATAAACCAGGACAACTCTTGACTTATTCAAACTTCAATAACTAGTTCAAACATAACGGCTAAGCTTGATACTTCATACCTTCCCCTAAACTGGGATGCTTCTACCTTCCAGTTTACTCTTCTTTCAGACAAACTCCCATCTTCCTCCTCAACTTCTCAAACACGTCGAGCTTCACCGCCTTTGTCATGATGTCTGCAATTTGCTCCAAAGTAGAACAGTACTCCAACTTGATCACTCCCTCATTCACCAGTTCCCTTAGAAAATGAAACCTCACATGGATGTGTTTACTCCGGCCATGTAGAACTGGATTTTTTGAAAGCTTGATTGTTGAATTGTTGTCACAAAACAACACAGTTTCCTCCTCCTGCATTAAACCGATCTCTTGAAGTATGTTTCTTTGCCACACAGCTTGGCAAGCTCCAAACGCCGCAGCTACGAACTCGGCTTCTGTAGTTGACAATGTCACAATCGGCTGCTTCTTTGAGGCCCAAGATACAGCACCACCTCCATACATGAACACATAGCCTGATATACTTTTCCTGTCGTCAATATCTCCTGCATAATCACTATCTCCATACCCAACCAGTCTCATATCTCCTCCTTTCCTGTATCTTATTCCCAGAGATCTCGTACCTTGAACATACCTTAAGATCCTTTTTGCAGCTGCAGCGTGCTGCTCATTTGGCTCCTCCATATAACGGCTGACAAGATTTACTGAGAACATCAAGTCAGGCCGTGTTGCAGTAAGGTACCTTAGACTCCCGATGAGCTGCTTAAACATTGTTGGACTCATCACAGCTCCTTGTCCTCCTTTTGTAAGCTTCTGTCCTGGCACCACCGGATTCTTTACTGCATTACAATCCTCCATTCCGAATCTCACCATTATCTCTTCTGCATATTTCTTCTGATTTATAAAGATCCCTTTCTCATCTTGTGTCACCTCCACCCCCAAAAAGTACTTCATTCTTCCGAGATCTGTCATAGAAAACTCCTCCATCATCGACTTCTTGAACTCACCGAGTAGAGTGCAGGAGCTTCCCATGTAGATCAAATCGTCTACATAGACACTTACAATCAGAACATCATCGTTTTTCCTCTTTATGAACAACGTGTGTTCACAGTAACATTTCTTGAAGCCATTTTTCAGAAAATATCCTTCCAGCCTGCTATACCAGGCCCGTGGTGCCTGTTTTAGGCCATACAGGGCTTTCCTCAGCTTGTATACTTTGTCTTCTGCACCTCTATGTTGAAAACCCTGCGGCTGCTCAACATACACTTCCTCACTCAAATCTCCTTGCAGAAATGCACTTTTCACGTCGAGTTGAAAGACTTCCCAACCTCTTTGTGCTGCTACTGCAAGCAATGTCCTGATTGTATCCCATCTTGCAACAGGAGCAAACACCTCATGAAAATCAACTCCTTGTGTTTGATGATATCCTTTTGCCACTAAGCGCGCCTTAAACTTATCCACTTCTCCTTTCTCATTCAGTTTCGTTTTAAAGACCCACTTTACTCCTATAACCTTAGCTTCTTCGGGTAATTCTACCAGCTCCCAAGTCTTATTTTCTTCAATCGATCTTATTTCTGCTTCCATGGCTTTCCTCCATACCTCGTGCTGGGCTGCTTCTTCGTATTTTTCAGGATCTTCTGCAGAGATGAACAATGCGATCACCTCTTCTTCTTCTTCTTCAATGACCAGTTTTACACCTGGACAGTGAAAGTCTTTCATCCATAGTGGCTTCTGTGATACCCTCTTTCCACGAGTTTCTGCAGGAGTTTCTGCTACAGCTTCTTCTTCTGCTTCTTCCTGAGTTCCTGCAGGTTCATTTCCAGCCGGTTCTCCTTGAATTCTCTCTCCTTCTATTTGATCGCTTTCTTCTTCCTCTGAATCGTTCATCATTCCTTCCCAAGTGATCTTCTTATCTGTTTCCTTGTTCTCCCAGTTCCACCCTTTGGTTTCATCGAACCTCACATCTCTGCTGATCACAATTCTCTTGGTTTCTGGATCATAAAGCCGATAGGCTTTGGATTCTCTACTTACACCGAACATGACACATTTTCTGCTCTTCTCATCCAGCTTTATTCTCCTTTCATAAGGTACTAATGCATAAGCCACACAGCCAAAGATTCTGAGGTGACCAACCTTTGGTTTTTTGTTGCTCCATTTCTCTCCGGGAGTAACATCTCCAAGTGCAGTGGTAGGACTTCGACTCAGGATATACACTGCATATTGTGCTGCTTCAGCCCAAAATCTCCTTGGTACTTCCATTCCAATCAACATGCATCTTGTCATGTTCATTATGCTTCTATTCTTCCTCTCTGCAACTCCATTTTGCTGTGGAGTATAGGCTGCAGTCAGCTGCCTCTTGATTCCTTGCTCTCTGCAATACTCCTGAAACTCATTTGAGTTGTACTCTCCACCTCGGTCACTTCTTAGACAGATTATAGAGGCTCCAAGTTCTCTTTCTACCTCTGCTTTGAACTCTTTGAAGACGGAAAACGCTTCTGACTTGGCTGACAAGAAGTATGACCAGCACTTCCTGCTGTAGTCGTCGATGAAGTTGATCAGATACCTTTTTCCACTCTCAGACGCCGGTGTGATTGGTCCACAGATGTCAGTGTGGACCAATTCAAGTCCTCTGCTTGATTTACATTTACTCTTCTTCGGAATGTTCTCCCTGATCTGTTTTCCCTTCATGCAAATTTCGCATATAGCTTCCTTAGTTTCAAAAGAATTCAAGCCATTTACCATTTCCTTCTCCACCATGGCTTGAATTCCCTTGTAACTCAGATGTCCGAGCCTCTTGTGCCACAGATCTCCTTGCTTCTCCTCTGATACTTGCAAGCATCTGGTGTCTGCGACTTCTTTTGG